GGGTCATGATTTGTCCTACCTGTCAGCAGGTACTCTCCACTGCTGACCAGCAGCACCCCACAACCCTTGCAGTTTTAAAGATGCTCTGACCCAGTCGACTGTCCGTAATGCTTTGGCTGTTGTCAAAGTCTTGACGCCTGCCCATTTCTCCCACATACAACACGTCAAGTCAAAGAACTTGCAACGATTGTCGCTTGCCACTTGACAAATCCCAGACTTTGACATGTGCCAATATTAGGAGCTAATGAGTGTTGTTTACTTCATGATGTATGTTTGTTTTTATGTGTGCAATAAACTTGCAGATTCTTCAAGTTCTTTATCTGCTTACGAGTCTGTGTAAAACTGGGCTTATAAATAAAGCTTGGAAACAAATATAAATATGACTGTAACTCTAAAGCTAATTCTAAAACATGAGTCATCATTTTTACTATGTATTAAAGGAAGATGAATTATATGGCTAATGACCATCTGTAATGGACTCATTTATCATGTTATGATTATCAACTTTTCAAAAGAAACTGTTTCTGTTCCTGTAAGGAACTCCACCCCTCCTAGACACTTTAGTACCTGTTGCGCAAGACACACAAACAGCAGGCTGTACTGTTTGTGAACTGCTGTCTGCTTAATGAGCAACACTACATGGAATTAAATTTACCTTCTCTGTAATTTGTGTGTCATTTCTGCATAAATGTGGTAAACACGTTCTTTGACCCTGACCTGTGCAAGCGAGACAAGTGATGCAAAAATAGAATTCTGCACAAAAGTGTACATTTTTTCAAACAAATACTCGTAAAATAGCCCCTCCATTGCTCATGTTAAAATTAGCAATGGTTTGCATTTTAATATGAGTAAAAATGTACACCCCAGTCTATTATGATCAGGTGGTGATCAGTTTGACTTCAAGTTTCATTTCCTCCCTCCTTCTGGTCCCTGAGACATGTGAGGTCAGCTGTCAGTGATTTGAGTCAGTATCTTCTGATTCCGTGAAAATCAAAGATTTTGGAACAGAGGAGGAGGTAATAGTAAGAGAGAACTGTTATATAAATTTAGCCCCCCTCATCAAAGACAGCAGAATTTTCTTCACTTTTTTTAAATGAAAGAGTTTGGTGTAGTATGTAAACATTGTTACAGTTTTAAAAAATACATACAGTCTATATGGACACAAAAACTAGTGCATTTACCTATATCCCCTTTTTTGGCCTATATGAGTTTAGTTCTGTTTTTATACCAAATTAAAGTTTTTCCTATCTAAGCCAAGAACCAAGAACTTTTATTTGTAAGAAAATATAGGAAGAGAATTTACGTATTTACGTATTTTTGCCCTTTCGCTGTTTGGTGTGCATAAACATGCAGGGTAATATCTTTAACAATGAGCTGTAACTTTAACACTGTTTGGTGAAATTGTGAAAATAAAACAACATTTAAATTACGTAGTGTTAATTGGGAATTTATTTTTTTTTTTCAAATGTCTATGATGAAGCAGTTGAGATGTGTCACGGATTCTCCCTTTGTCCCTCTGAGTGTCTGTTTCTTCACTTCTGTTGTAGCCATGTGCCTTTTGTTTTCTTTTACCATGTGCTTTTGTTGTTGTTCTGTGTCTCCTCCCTGGTCCTGCCCCCTTGTTATCTGTTCCACCTGTCTGTGCTCCGCCCCTCATTAGTCCCAGGTGTTTCTTATTTTCCCTCAGTGTATTTATACCCCTGTGTTTGTTCAGTCTTTGTCTTGCATTGTGGATGTAACCTTGTCTCTTGTTTGCTTGTCATGCTTGTGGTTTTGTTTTGTTTTGTTTTGTTTTGTTTTCATTATGGACTCTCATTTCAATAAAAACTCGCTTTTGCATCCCGCCTCCATGCCTCAAACGTTACAGAATGCAAGACCACACAGGGAAGCAGCGAGTTTGCAGGACCTTATCAAGGAAAATGAGGTCAGACTTCAGGAGAGCTACCATCTGCTCTGTCGGCTTCAGCTGTTGCTCCCTAGTAAGGAGAAAGCCTCAGCCATGGACGTCACAGCAGGCCCGCCAGCCTCAGCCATGGACGTCACAGCAGGCCCGCCAGCCTCAGCCATGGACGTCGCAGCAGCCCCGCCAGCCTCAGCCATGGACGTCGCAGCAGGCCCGCCAGCCTCAGCCATGGACATCGCAGCAGGGCCGCCTGCCTCCGAGGACGTCGCTGCAGGGCCGCCTGCCTCCGAGGACGTCGCTGCAGGGCCGCCTGCCTCCGAGGACGTCGCTGCAGGGCCGCCTGCCTCCGTGGACGTCGCAGCAGGCCCGCCTGCCTCCGAGGACGTCGCTGCGGCCCAGCCTGCCTCCGAGGACGTCGCTGCGGCCCAGCCTGCCTCCGAGGACGTCGCTGCGGCCCCGCCTGCCTCCGAGGACGTCGCTGCGGCCCAGCCTGCCGCCGAGGACGTCGCAGCAGGCCCGCCTGCCTCCGAGGACGTCGCTGCGGCCCAGCCTGCTGCCGAGGACGTTGCTTCCGAGTTCCCTGACCTGCTGGTAGCCTCTACATCCCCAGACCTGCCCATGGCCTCAGCGTCACCAGTCCCAGTTCCTGCTCCCTGGGCCACTCCTGCTCCTGCACCCCGGGATGCCACAGTTTCTGCTCCTGCACCCTGGGCCACTCCTTTTCTCATTTCCTGTCCTGGTTCGGTGCCGGCCTCTCAGCATTATGCTCCGCCGCCAACCTCCCAGCGACCCCCACCTATGCCAATCTTTCAGCGTCCAGTGACGGCCTTCCAGTGTCCTGCTTCAGTGCCGACTTTCCAGTTCCCTGCTCAGTCTGCCACCCAGTTCCTTCGCCTGCATGAACTTAATTCTGTGTTTTTTCCCCCCCAAGTCTCTAGTCCATAGTTTTGTTTTTGTCCCTGTAACCATGTATATATCTGTACCCGTCTCAATCAGTGTTCCTGTTTCTGTGTTTGGTCTTATTGTACCTGTTCCTGTCCATCTTTCTGTCCCTGTCCCAGTTACCATGTCTGTTCCTGTCCCCATGTCTATGTTAAGTCCATCTCCTGTTCTCTCTCCACTTTTGTCTTCAGTATCATCTCCTGTCTTGTCTCGTGTCCTGCCTCCTGCTGTCTCATGTGTCTCATCCTTTGTCTCATCTCCTGTCCAATCCCATGCTCAGCCCGCTGTCCAGTCTCCTGTCTGTTCCACTGTCCAGACTTCTCTCTTGTATCCAGTATCTCCGCTCCAGTCTCCTGTTCTCTCTCTCCACTTTGTCTTCAGTCTCGTCTCCTGTCCGGTCTACTATCCTGTCTCCTACCCAGTCCCTCCTCCTAACCGGCTCCCACTTTGGATGGCCTTTGTTTTTCGCGCCTCGGGAGCTGCGCGTTAGGAGGGGGGTTCTGTCACGGATTCTCCCTTTGTCCCTCTGAGTGTCTGTTTCTTCACTTCTGTTGTAGCCATGTGCCTTTTTGTTTTCTTTTACCATGTGCTTTTGTTGTTGTTCTGTGTCTCCTCCCTGGTCCTGCCCCCTTGTTATCTGTTCCACCTGTCTGTGCTCCGCCCCTCATTAGTCCCAGGTGTTTCTTATTTTCCCTCAGTGTATTTATACCCCTGTGTTTGTTCAGTCTTCGTCTTGCATTGTGGATGTAACCTTGTCTCTTGTTTGCTTGTCGTGCTTGTGGTTTGGTTTTGTTTTGTTTTGTTTTCATTATGGACTCTCATTTCAATAAAAACTCGCTTTTGCATCCCGCCTCCATGCCTCAAACGTTACAAGATGTAAATACAGTCATTCAGAGTGGTTTGATGTGAAATTCTCCGTTCTATAGAAACTTACCATGCAGCATTATTGAGTGTAATTTGAGATTTGTTCACAGCGGTGGTGATGGAAACTGGACGTTAGAAGATTTTAATGCTTCTAAAAGCTGCCTCACAAAGTTATTAGATGAAATGGTTTCAAATACGCATCTCAGACATTATTTCATAGTCGTTTTGAAAGACACTTTTAAAACATATTCTTTTTTCAAATCCATGTTCTTGGGCGAAAGTGGAAAAATGTAAAACAAAGAAAATCACCATTATTTTACCATCACCAACAGTAGTCTAAGATTCACTCATACCAATGAAACACACTCTATCATGTCAGTAAGTTCACAGATTATTTTAGATGGCCAATAAAATAGTTCGATTTGCATTGTAGATGTGGTGACCCCTGGTTCCTATCACCAAAAAAATCATAGTGTAGGTTTCTCTTCGATCAACCATTTACATTAAATCACTCTGGATGACTTTATTTATATCTTAACCATTGAACTTTGAAGAATTTTTGAAAAATTGACAGAATTCTCCTTTAAAAGTCAAGTGAAAGTCAAGTAAAGAGCACTGAGCACTGAGTTAAGTATTCATTGTAATGTATTGTACTGCACTTACATGTTGTATTGTATTGCACTGCTCTGTGTTCAACTCTGTTCCTTTTTCTCTAGGTATCAACAGGGACTTTTTGTTTCTGGCAGTATCTGAGCTCAGGACTAGCTTTCTCTGTAACCTTTGCTTGGTAACTAGCAAAGATACTTACTCTAGATAGACAAGGCACTTTTTGTAAGTCGCTCTGGATAAGAGCGTCTGCTAAATGCTGTAAATGTAAATGCATTAAATCTTACTTTGCTTCCTTGATAAAGTATAAATTTGCTTCTTATTCAGCGCTGAAGTAAAGACGGTTGATGTAATTTCATTGATGTCACTGCTGCTGAATATGTGAACTTATTTGTGAATGTGAATATTGAAAAATAATAGTCCACATTTAACTCATAGCAGCCATAGTGCTCATTTATGAAGACTGTAATAAATCAGCAATAAAATCATTAAAATAAAACACCAGCAGATCAGACCTTCATGTTCAAGAAACATCTTCATGTCATTCTCAAAACAGTTAACCACAAACATGTTTTCCTTTCATTTGATCTTTCCAAAAATTGTGAAACACTGCCGTTAGCCTCAGGGTGAAAGAAGACTCATAAATGTGTTTGTGAATGAAGGGGTGGTGATGTGTAAGTGGGAGGGACAGTCCAGAGGAGGTGGATTAGAGACCCAAACATCCACTCATTCTTGCTGTATAGGAAAGCCTGACAACTTTTGGAGCTGTTTTCTTGTACAATGAAAGGTAAGTTGTAGAGTTGTGGCTTGTTACAACTTGGGCTAAACTATTAGCAACAGCAATGTGTGATTTTACGGCTTATGCAGAGGCTTTATCATTAATTGCTGATAGGAAGCATTGCTTTAAAGCTGATTCAAGCTAAAGAAAGACTGAGATACAGTTTGTGTGATAACAGTGGATAAATACAGTTGAAGGCTGGTGCCACTCTATTTCTATGTAGTGTTACTGGAGAGACTGAAATCAGTGACGCTGGACTTTGAGATCATGTTGGTGTAAAAGGTGTTCATAGATGTTGTTCATTAACATTTACATGAACTTATCAAACCAGAGTTCTAATCCATGTTGAGAATTAAGTTGGCTTCCCTGACATGAAGCATAAGGAGTGTGTGCTACTTGGTGATGATTGTTGCTTTTAAATGCGAGACTCTTCACTTCCTCTCACAAATGTTCTGTGAATTCATCTTGAACACAGTTTTGATCACATCAATGTAAAATGAACTGGGATGTTTAACGACTCTAATGTCAAAATGTGAAATGTAATGTCTGAAAGATACAACTGAAAGTCAAGAAAGTGGTCAAGAAAGTGATGAGAAGATACAAGAACGAGGTCAATGGAGCAGCAAACTGGAATTTGTGCTATCCGTTGCTGGTTCCATTATTGGCTTGGGCAACATGTGGCGATTCCCATACTTATGCTACAAGAATGGAGGAGGTGAGTTCTACTTTGAAGAAGTTCTACTGTCTAAAGTACATTACGTTTGAAGGAATTAGTGTAGGTAGTATCTCAGACTTGCCCTCTTTCTTCATAGGGAGAATCTTCAAGAGATAAGGTCACAAGTCAGAGTTCAGAGTGACAGCAGTTGCTTGAACTCAAGCCACTGTTTTTGTCAGACAGCTGACAGATGTGGCTGTTTTTGGATTTCTGAAACCTGATCACTCTTTAAACAGCCAGTCATTCTTAGGGTAATGTTCCACTGATTCTGCTAAGCTGAACCTTTACCTAACAAGCACCTATTCTTACAAAATACAAATAGAATTATATAGAAGTAACAGAAATGACACAGGAAATACTTATAATTGTTGGCCATTTTATCAGAAACACCTATATATACCACATAGGTGCAGTTTGCAGGTTCACAGTTACTAACTGTAAGCCATCTGTTAATGCACATTTGTTTGCCCCTCTACCCTGCCACCATAGGGCCACCATAGGACTACCGCTGACCACATATTATTTGGGTTGTTGATCATCCTCAGCACAGCAGTGGTACGTACTGACATGGTAGTGGCATGGTCAGTAGGTCAGTTAGAGCAGCTTTGCTGGAGTTTTTAAACACTGTGTACATTCGCCGTCTGCTCTGTAAGACACCCCTACCTTGTTGATATACAGTTAGTGACTGTAGCTCAACTTTTTCTATGTACAGTTTTTGTCAGTCATCCTCTAGTCGTCATCAGTGGTCCGTTTCTGACTAAAAGAAGCTGTTGGCTGGATGTTTTTTGGTGGTGGACTGTTCTCAGTCCAGCACTCACACTCCAGCAACACTGCTGTGCCTGATACACTTGTACCATTAATGGTCTGCCACTGAAATAATATCTGATCAGTGGTAGTCTTATGGTGGTCCTTTTCCATTGATAGATGGGGTAGGGGAGGCTGATAAATTATGGAACAATTGATGGACTACAGTCAGTAATTTTAAATCTACATAAAAGTTTGATATGACAGGTGCTTCTGATAAAATGGCCAATCAGTATGAGTATTTAAATGGCTCATACATTTTTCTTTTCTTCTCTTTTTTCCTTTGAGGTCCACAACATTTGTGCGGTTGTATGTCCCAAAAAATGATCATGCTTAATTTTTACATGACTGTTTTCCAAACTCTCTTTATCCCTTACAATTATACAGGTCATGTTTGTTACTGTGCCTTTAAGGTTGATATAACATAAATGAGCTTTGATGTTCTGATTGGCTGTTCTGTATTGTGTCTCATTCAAAAAGCATTCTGGGCTAAAACACTCCTCAGAACTTCATTATGAATGGGCGGGGCTAAACTGCTGCAGGCTGAATAGATGGATATACTGTATGTAAATATGTTGGTTCTTGTGATGTCACAGCAACAATAATTCAAAATGGGCTGTTTTTGGAGCATAGTTTACATATCATAACTTTACAGGAGAGGGCAAAAAACGTTCTTTACTTTCAATGTAAGTTAATGGAAAAAGTTTTTATTCTAAGCAATTTTGGACCATTTCGATTGGTCCAATCATCATTAAATTTTCACACAATGTAAGGGACAGCTACTGAGCTCAAATGATGCAGAAAAGTAAAAATCGCAAAAAATGGAGGTATGTTTTTCATTGGACAGCGATGATATATGGACCTTATGGGCTGGGTAGTGAATGTTTTTAACGAACTTTACATTTACATATTACAAACTCCTTATTTCAAAAAAGCGAGGGAAAGTCAGTATTTCCATGATATGGGCCCTTAAATGAAGTGTTTTCATTGTTTTGTACACAACCCTCACCCCTGTATCTCTATGGCAAAGAAGACAGTCTTCGTACATGCAAAATGCAGAAATGTATAACCCAAAGCAGATGTAATAATGAGTAATTTATCTTTACTGTGCTTTGCATTGCTATGTTATATTCATAATACTCCACTTTGATAAATGCAGGTGCATTCCTCATTCCATACCTCATTTTCCTATTCACCTGTGGGATTCCTACGTTTGTCTTGGAGACAGCTTTAGGCCAGTACACCAGTGAGGGAGGCATCACCTGCTGGAGGAAAATCAGCCCTCTCTTTGAAGGTAACACATTTATCTGTTCTATTTTGTGAGAAAACTTTCTTGCTTTGTTCTAAGGGCAAACATTTTACCCTGCTTTTTGTAACTGGCTCCAGTAGATGAGCACTGATGTTAAATTCTATTCTGTTTGTTGTTCAAATGACCTATTTTGGTTTAGCCTTTTACATTAATGTTCTTCTTCACAGGACTAGGCTATGGCACACAAGTCATTGTATCCTTACTGAATTGCTACTATATTGTTGTTCTGGCATGGAGCATCTTTTATTTGTACTTCTCTTTCTCCTGGGACTTACCATGGTCCTCATGCCACAATTCTTGGAATCTAGGTGAGAAGATTACTTTCTACATTAGGTCTTATAGTGCAAATTCACTGTTTGGAATGTGCATCACATGCTGGGTTCCTCAGTGTTGGGCCATTGTTTTTGTCAAAGAAACTTGTGTGGAGTTCCAGAGGAGGAATGATTCTGCCAACTTCACACTGACTGCAAATGCCACTTCTCCTGTCATTGAATTCTGGGAGTAAGTTCTGGTTCTATTATAGCATATTCTTTTAGACTATGCTAGTGTTGGTCCAACCTTTAGTAAATGTTAAATAAATTTTTTTTTGGTCCTTTTTTAATATTATATTGTGTGTAATTGCCAGTCCAGTTGCATATACCTCTGTTTGTAAAATCAGTAAAGTTTATAGGTGTGTTCAAGATGTTTATTTGATCCATGTGAACAGGAGAAGGGTGTTGCGGCTCTCTCCAGGTATTGACCAGATGGGCTCTCTGAACTGGGATCTGGCCCTGTGTCTGCTTATTGCCTGGGTCATGTGCTACTTCTGCATCTGGAAAGGAGTGAAATCAACAGGAAAGGTTGGTTTGGTCTTTTTGCAAGTGAATTAATGCATAAGCTATTATGCTTTCCTTTGTAACTCATTGGTCCAGTGGACACCGACCTTTTTCCTGGAGAGATACCTTCATGAAGAGTTGCCTACCAACCCAGAGCTTGGGTCTATCTCACTATGTAGGATTCCTTGCTTTGCTTCTTGCTAATTTTTAGCTTAGTTCAATCTAACCCTGGATTTTTTTGTCTCACAATAGTGGATAATTTTTTACCAGGATACATCACTGTAGCAATTTATCCTGCACATTTAACCTGCGTTAGGGCTTAGGCTCAGGATTACCATATCATTTTTATAAACAGCTCTTGGACCAATGCAGGCCCAGATTCTGACCAAATTCTGATGTGGGGCAGCCTCTGAAAGAGTTGGACTCTCTGGTCTTTATGTTTTTTTTTCTTAGTGACGTTTGTGGTGTTTATATTCCTTTTCTGTGGCGGAAAAAAACAATGCTACATATCAAGAATATCAAGAATATTGAACAGTTAGGTGAGAAGGGACACAAACTAGCATGGAGTAAACTGTAACATGGATTTTTTTGTAATTAAACAGATTCAACATATTTTAAGACATCATATTCCCATAGCAACGCCATCTGTGAATTTTGACAGCAATCTGACAGATATTTCTTAAGATTTACCCTGAAGTGGTTTTCATAAGTGATTTTTAAGAGTTTTGTACATATGCCTCAATATAAAATTAAAACAAATACATTTTTGGAAGTTGTTATGCACAGATTAATCAAAAATATAATCAGAATATTTTTTCTTTAATTTTATTGTGCTGACATTGACAGACATTTTGCACAAGTCATAGTCTGGTTCAAACAACATAGAAATGTCCTGATTTAACTGTGTTACGCATTGATGTATCAGACTTTTTAGTGACCTTTACAGCCCATCAGACTGTTACAGTTAAGCCTGTGTATGGGCTCAGTTGTTATTTTTGCACTCCTCTCACTTTTGGCTGAATCTGGTAAACACAATACCCTATAATGCCTGGTGTAAGCTTGTATAATTGCTATCATTATAGTTACATGAATAACACTTTTGCATTATAATATCTGTTTATAAGAACATTTTAAGCATGCATGTTGTAATGCACTATTACACACCATAACAAGGTTCTGGTATATGGTCTGCTTTGCAACAGACCCTGGCATACATCCAGGTAAACGTTTATTGAGTATAATCACTTCTGCCCCCAACAAAAAAGCATGAAAAAAGATTTTCTCTTTAAAAAAAAAAAGCCTGTCATGTATATGCAGTGTGATTTCAGAGTTTCTTTGTTTTTATCTCACTTCACTTAAAGCCTATAAGGATCACTTCTACTGCTCTATAAGGTATTATGAAAATTCTTTAACATTTGAAAGACATTTTAAAAAAAAAACTCACTTAGGTTAAAGCCTGTAATGGCATGGCATAAAGCGCTATAAAGTGTTATAATGCATTGCAACATAAGTGTCTAAACTGTCCTTATGAACAGATATTATAAGGCATTAACCCGACTTTATAAAGTCATAAAATTTTGCATTATAAAGTGTTATGCATCTAATTATAACTATTTAGAACCAATTCTACAAGCTTCTGCCTGGTATTATAAGGCATTATATGTGTCGTAAAACACCTTATTAATGCATTTATAATGCATTAGAAAAACAACATTCATAGGAATTGTTATCAAATTTAATTATCAAATACTTATTTGCTTAAATACTTTTAAAATTATTTAAAAATTAAAAGTCCACATAACACCAAGGCACTCTTACATGTTAAGATTAAAGACTGAAATTGCTTTTGTTTCCAGGGCAAATACATGTTAAAGTGTTATTGGTGAAAAGCTAAAATATACCTTTCTTTGTTTGAGAAATGAAAGCAGTGCTCACTACAGGCAGCTTTCTCTCTTGTGCCCTAGCATTTTTTAACACTTTTGTATGGATTTGCTCAGGAAATAAAGGCAATTAAAATCTTTGATCATAACATGCAGGAATGCCTTGGTGTGAAATGGACTTTGAATATTAGTATACCCAACCTTGTTACCAAAGAGCACATTACTGACTCTCCATGATATATATGGAATAAGTCATTGAGCAAGCCATATCCTCCATTTTCAAGTAGCCTTATTTCGTAGCTGTTTAGTTGCTTCTCATGATTGGCTGTTCATCATAAACAGTCCACTCCACTTTCAGGTGTATGCACACAGGGTTTAATCTTAGCTTGAATATCTAAACCTGAGTTAACAGAGAGAGTTACTAACCGCTGTTGTAAAGTGACTCAGTCAAGACATTTATTAGTTTTTATGAAGTCGAAAGCAGAAGCTGAAGTAGAAACCTTGAACTTGCTTCGTGAGACAGGTCGCTGGATGCCCTCACTCACTAAATCTCACTCAGAAGATTTATTCATTCACTGTTGCTTTGTCTTAATCCCTTCAGGTTGTGTATTTTACCGCTACCTTTCCCTACCTCATGCTTCTGGTGCTTCTCATTCGAGGCCTTACCTTACCAGGGGCTGTGAGGGGCATCCAGTTTTACCTGTACCCTGACGTGGGGCGTTTAGCTGATCCACAGGTACAACTCAACTACACTGGCATGCTATTATCTGTGGTTCTGCTTCCTCTGTAGGGCTGTATGATATGGACAAAATACCATTCATGATTATATAGCTACATATTATGATAACCCCAATATACTAACAATACAATGGTGAACGCTTAATGTGACATGGTTAAAGATTCGGCCTGCATTATTTCTGACCAAATTGATTTTGGTGGGGCACGTGAGTGCCTTGATTTATCCAAACTTCCCAACAGCATCTGTAATCGATCAGGATGCTCACATCACACAATATGTAGTAATAGGTTAGAGGCTCATTTGCATATCTTAGCCTTCTACAATATCAAAATCGTAAAGGTGGATATCATGATTACAGTTAGCAAATGATATTTTGTGCAGCCCAGTGTTAATGTTTACCAAGTAAGTGCTGACTTGTGCTATCAAGTAGAGCTGGTGCTTTAAAATTCTCATTATTTAGTTGCTTTTCAACAGGCGGGTGCCTTAGTTGAGGTCAAGACCCTCCTTTGGGGATCACAGTGTGTATTGACCCCATCTGGGTTTCAAGAAAGAGATCACATAGAGGGGAAACCCCCCTGGCTGTGTTTGAGAACAGAATCATCCCGGATTCAAACATTGCCCTCAGTCCAAGTGTTTTGTTTTGTTAATTTACAGATATGTGACTAGACCCCAGAAAAAAAAAATAAAAAGAATAAGAACATAATACATATGCAATAGTAAAAAAAGTCATAAAAAATAAAATAAAATAATTGCTGCTAAAAAAACGTTTCTTTTTACATGCTATTATCAATATTACATTTAAACACTCAGCAGACAAGTGTAGGTTCACTGGTTGGTTTGGATAGCAAATAAAATGACTACATTTGTGTCGTAGAAATTGTGACCCATGATTCCTATCACCACCACTGTAAAGAAATCAAGTTGGGAAGAACGTATCATTTCACATCAAACCACTCCAAAAGATTTTCTTTACATGTCAATGACTAAATTATCCAGAGATTTTGAAAAATCAGTAAAATTCTCTATGTGTTCTATTTAACCAGGTATGGATGGATGCAGGAACCCAAATTTTCTTCTCATATGCCCTCTGTTTAGGGAGTCTAACAGCCCTTGGGAGCTACAACAAATTCAACAACAACTGCTACAGGTACTGCATGTCTCTGTGGTACCATTTACACTACAGTCCAGATAGGTGGATATCATTTTGGATGAATCATAATAGGGATTTTTTATGCACAGCCCCTTTCAATGGACTATACATATTGGAGAGAGATCATATTGTCATTATTGCTTCCAGTAATAAATATGTTTCTATCACAGGGACTGCTTGGCTCTCTGCTTTCTAAATAGTGGGACAAGCTTTGTGGCTGGCTTTGCCATCTTCTCCATTCTCGGTTTCATGTCATATGAGCAGAATGTACCAATTTCTGAAGTGGCCGAGTCTGGTAAGAGTTTCTCCGGAAATATTTCAATGTCAGATCAGTTTGAGGCCTTTTGCAATTTCACTGCATCAAAATTTGTAGTTATTCATAAATTCTTTGTAAAGTTGTCAGACTTACTTTTGTTAAAACTGTTTGCTCAATTTAAATTCAGTTACCATTTAGCCCCTTAATATCCCAGGCTTATTACTACTAATGCTTATATTTGAGTCTTGCTTAAATTATAGAACTGTTTAATAAAAGTTTCAGACCACCCATGTAGGGTGTATGTACCTACTAGATGAATTGACTAGTTGACAGTTTGCATGATGATAATGCATATTTTTAATACTTGTCTCTCTCCCATTCTTACTTAAAGGGGAATTCCACCGATTTCTCAAAAATTGTATGGTCAATATTGAAAAAAAACATTCAAAATGTTTTGATGTAAAGTGCATTGTAGAGAAACTTACTGACTCAAATTTCTGAGGTTTTATAGGTTTATATGTTGATTATGGTAAAATAGCGGCATAACTGAAAAAATGTAAAAAGGTTTTTTTGAGGACTATTTTGCCTGCAACACCCTGCATGTACTTCTCTGTCGTGAGTGGATTTTAAAAAAATACATTTGGGGCTAAAACTTTATAAATAAAACTATTATCAAACATGTCTCAGACATTAGATAGCATACTCATAACCATTTCCTATAATAATTTTCTGTGATGTAGCTGAAGTTTCTGTAAATAGTGGAACCAGCCAGAAGCTGATTTTAAAAACATGAGGTTTGGATTGATGTAAAATATTGCTTGTTTTAGGTTAAACTAATATTTGAATTTGCATCATTATATTGAAAGTATTTATTTGAGTTGAATAATATCAGTTAAATAGTTTGTTACCTCATGAAGTACATTTGTAGGTTGAACAAACCATTTTCACAGTGCATCAAACGACTCTGAATGACTTTGTTAGCCACTTAACTATGCAATTATGCAGAATTTCTGAAAAATTAATGGAATTCCCTTCTGATTCCCCCTGGTTCATGGGTTTGCCTTGTACTGGGGAACTAATACACAGTCTTTTGGATGACTAAGTCCATTATCAAATACGTTTAAGGTCAGTTGCAGGTCTACAGAGATGTTAGATAGACCAGTGTCTCAATGCATTTCAGGTCCTGGTCTGGCCTTTATTGCATACCCCAGGGCTGTTTCAATGATGCCTTTCTCTCCTCTGTGGGCCTGCTTCTTCTTTATCATGATAATCTTCCTTGGACTGGACAGCCAAGTAAGCTTTTAGTCACTTGCATCTAGACACAATGAGAGACATTTTCTGTCATATAGGCCCCACGTACACATTTACGTGACATTATGCAATGTAGTGTGTCCTGTACCTGTATGTTGGCTTTGTTCCACTGGGTGACATTTGAAGACAGATATGTTCTGTTTTTGTGATTGTGTTTGGATTTTGTTGTGATTTTGCTGTGACATGTCTGGATGATTGACATAAATAATTACTGACAATGTGGAGTGCCCTTTTAATGTTTGAAGACACTTTGCGTTCTTTTGAAATGTAAAAGATCTCATTTCTTCTTCTTCTTCTTCTTCTTCTTCTTCAATTAAGTAAGACTGTCTTTTTTAAACATAATAAGTTTGGGAATACTTTGTGTATATTTATCTTCAGCACTCCATCAAAATATTTTTAGTTAGTTATTAATTTCTACATGCAATACGTGAAGCTACACAATGAGTTCAAATGACTTCACACCTGCAAATAATTTGTGTAGGTCTTTTGACCCTATATTTTCTCAAAAGGAACAAATCCTATTTCCTTCAAGGAAATTAATGAAGTGACCAAATGTTTAATGGTAATCCATGAAGTCAGTGTTATGTAAAGGAGGTTTTGCCTAAATAATAATCTGACAGTTTTCTTTGCCAAACTTCTGTTGAAAACACATATTACTGTTTTTTTTATGAGTGCTGACATCACAACAAGCGCATAAAATGTGTGATATTATTTCCTAGAGAGCACCATCACAAATATCATCACAGAAAATTATATTTGAGTAAAAATAAACTTTATTAATCTTGACTGTGTTAAACTATTGCAATCAAACCATACTAATTTGAATTAAAACACTTTGTTAAGGTAGATGTCTCCAAACTTTTGACAGGCAGTGTCTATGGCAGCATGCTGTGTGAATGTACTGGACATTTGTTCTCGTTATTCACTGTACAAACTGATTTAAAGCACTGCTATTATCTGACCAACTGCAGCAGTGGCTGTTTTACCTATTTTATCTCTATAACTGTAGTTTGTCTGTGTCGAGAGCCTGGTCACAGCCATAGCGGACATGTATCCGGCTGTGTTTCGCCGTAGGAACCGCAGAGAGCTCCTCTTGTTTGTGGTGTCCATCCTCTTCTTCCTGGTGGGCCTTATCATGCTGATGGAGGTGAGGACTTAAGCTGCTAGTGTAATAGCTTCTGGAGCCATCCAAAAGTCAGAGACCAAACTTAATTTACTTAATTTCCATTCAAAACAGCTATTAAGTACAAGCTATTAATTTTTCAGAGATATTTTAAGAGAGTATATATAAGATCCACTTGCACAAGGAAGGGAAAATCAAAAGAAAATAAGTGAAAAGTGAGTTTCCTAAAGTTGTTTTTTTTAAACATGTAGAGAAAATATAGGTTACATGTAGGAAACTATAGGGTAAATATAGTTTCCTAACTCCTAACAACTGTGCAAGACCTGGTAGACCACCAAAACCATCCCTATCAGATAAACAGCACTTACAGCTTCTTTGAGAGAGAGGAGAAAATCAAGCTCTACTTTTGCTTCAGATCTGAAAAAATACACAGGTGTTTCTGTCGAGTCTTCCACTGTGAGAAGACAACTCAACACTATGAGTCTGAATGGATGTGTAGCTGTCAGGAAGCCCTTACTGAGAAAAGAAGCAGACTAAAATAAAAAAAAAAAGCCAATTAAATAAGTTGCTGTTGTTTTCAGAACAGTGGACCACCCCAGAGTCCACACTTCAACACTACTAAATGTGTTTGGGATTACTTGGATGGTGAGTAGCGGAAAATGCAACCAACTTCTAAGACTGAACTTTGAAGGAGTGGAACAAAAATCCCTACAGATTGTTTTGAAAAACTGAAAACAAGTCTCCCAAAACAAATGGAAGCTGTAGTAAAGACAAAAGTGGACACAATGAACAAAAAGTAATGGTATGTTAGTTGTTGAAAAATGAAGAACTTGAACATAATGGTAGTTTTGACTGTAAATTGTGTAACTATATAAATTTTATATATAGTGTATATATTTTCTGCTCTAAAGTGTAATAATCTGATATCACACTTTAGTACCACTAATTTAGTGCCTATAAAAAGATGAATGACACACACACTTCAGTCAATGGAAAGCTCTCACTACTACACCTCTCACTACTTTACTGAGTTAATGAGCTGCTGTGGAGCGCATTAGCAATGATCACAGAAGAACATAAGTACTTAACATACATAGCTGCACCAGTGCATTGCTTAGGTTATAGTGAACAAGGGGCAATGAGCATGCAAGTTTGAAAGAAAAGCTGGTAGGGCCCTTTCTGTCCTTTCTTTCAGTGTCTCACGGCCCCTCTTTCATGGCCCCTCTTTCATGGATCACATCATAGTGTGGTAGTAATGGCTTTTATTGTGAGTAGCAAAAAAAGCAATTTTCTATAGAAAATTCCAAAATGTAGTGCACATAATGTTGCACGACATAAAAAGGTTTAAGCTGAAAAAAAGCAAAAAGATAAAGCAGACTGATCTTTAACTATGCCACACCAAGGTTCACCTATTGTCAGTTTAAGTTACATTGTTATTGTATTAGGTAGTGGTATAATCATATTTTGTCTATATTGTGCAGCCCTAGTGTGGGCAGTGTGTTGACATTAATAAAATGCTCTGTTTCAGTCTCGGGACTAGCAGCACCACTTGCTTCTTTTTCAATGAAAATTGATTGGCACATCAGAATGTTTCTGATGTTGTTTCTTTGTTCATGCTACACATACTGTATGGCCTAAAGTATGTGGACACTTCACCATCACACTTACTTCTTGGACATCCCATTCAAAAACAGTGGGCAATAATATTTCCACTCTTCTGGGAAAACTTTCCACAATATTTTGGAGTGTGTCTGAGGGAAATTTGTGCCTATTCAGTCAAATGAGCATTTGTGAAGTCAGACACTGATGTTGGACGAGAAGGTCTGGCTCACAATCAGCATTCCAGTTTATCCCAAAGGTGTTCGGTGGAGTTGAGGTCAGGACTCTGTTCAGGCCACTGGAGCTCCTCCACACCAAACTCACCAAACCATATCTTTATGGACCCCGCTTTGTGGACAGGGGCTCAGTCAGGCTAGGAAAGGAAAGGGCCTTCAAAAGACTGTTGCCACAAAGCTGATAGCATATAATGGTCTAAAATGTATTTGTATGCTGTAGCATGAACATTATCCTTCACTGGGACTAAGGGGCCCCATCCTTGAAAAACAGCCCAAGACCATTATCCCTCCTCAACCAAAAAAAAAAAGAAAACTTACTGCTGGCACTATACACCGATCAGGCATAACATTATGACTATCCTTGATTATCCTTGTTTCTATGCTGATTATCCATTTTATCAGCTCCACTTACTATATAGGTGCACTTTGTAGTTCTACAATTACAGACTGTAGTCCATCTGTTTCTCTGCATACTTTGTTAGCCGCCTTTCACCCTGTTCTTCAGTGGTTAGGACCCCCATGGACCCTCACAGAGCAGGTACTATTTGGATGGTGGATCATTCTCAGCACTGTAGCAACACTGATGTGGTGGTGGTGTGTTAGTGTGTGATGCGCTGGTCAGAGTGGATCAGACACAGCAGTGCTGCTGGAGTTTTAAACACCTCAGTGTCACTGCTGGACTGAGAATAGTCCACCAACCAAAAGCAATGCCTTGAATACAGTATTTTGTTTCTACATTAAAATTCAACTACTCACCACGCTGTGGTGGTGAGTGGTGCTCATCATCCATTTCTCAAGAGTTTTTAGGAAACTTCAGTGATAACAATGCAAAGAATGGTACATATAACAGTGAATTAATATTTATTTTCAAACTGAATATTTTTTAAATGACAAATGCAAGTAAATGCGAGTCCTTGTATACAGATCAGCGTTTGCTGTCTGGTTCAGTTTTACCCACCTTGTTCTTTGATTAATTACCTTGTGAAAAGTGACACATGGTGAGCCAAGCTTTTTCACTGAACATTTTTCAACTCAGTCTGCGAGGACCCACAATGGGAAATTTGCAATCCACAGTGGAAAGAATGGCTTCTGCGGCAGGTAGAGTATAGTGGTGTTTTGGGTGGAATATGCTCTGCCATCTAAACATAGCCTTACATTTGACTGGGGCAGATCTTGCAGTGCCCTTCAGTATGAGCCATTCTACTGCCAGTGTTTGTCTGTGGAGATTGCATGGCTATGTACTTGATTTTATAGTGTATGATCAGTTTGATTAATGATCAGCCTTTAAGCTACAATATATTTGCAAAACATAACCTTATTGCTTTTTTTTTTACCTTGTCATACATTTGCATATGTGTGATTAACAGGGTGGGATGTACGTATTCCAGCTGTTTGACTACTATGCAGCCTCGGGCATGTGTCTGCTCTTCATGGCCATATTTGAGACTGCTTGCATTGCCTGGGTCTATGGTAAGTTATGATAAATGACAGAAAAGACAAGTGTTATGACGATTGGTGTTATTGGTTATTACCATCCAAAACAATAACACCAAACCAAATGATTGTTAAAAAGATTCCTAATCTTTCATTGAACCTGAACAGTTCATGGAATAATCTTTGATCTGTGTGTCGCTTGACAACTATAGCATACTGTTAACAATCTACATTGCTTGGTGAAAAAAAAATAGTTTATAGTGATATATAGTGATATTGAACAATAATTCAATTAATTTATTGAACATTGGTGCATTACGTCATGTTATGTTTTGCTGCTGTCTAAAGAGAACCTAGTTAGTCTAATTGTCTAAATGTTATATAGATAACCATATGCAATGCCAAAGCACTAGGCAGATACATTTTTTCAGCACTGATCTTTGCTCCAGGTTTGGTTGAGATTTCTGCTTACTTATTCATTCAAGATCTGCTCTTGTTTTCTCAGGTGCTGATCGCTTCTATGATAATATTGAGGATATGATTGGCTACCGCCCAGGCCCTCTAATCAAATACTGCTGGAAGTTTTTCACCCCATTCACCTGCATAGTGAGTCTCACTGGACTGCGTTAACCCAGTTTATTTTTCAACAGGCCAAAATTCAAGTACTGTGAAAAACACAGAAACCACCCTTTATTTATTTAATTTCCTGTCAAAACCTACAAGTTATTCATTTTTCAGGAGGCATTTCTGAGGAGATTAGATTTAAATAATCAACTTGTATAAGAAAGAGGAAAGGAAAGGAAAAGTCAAAGGAAAATAAGTGGAACAGAAGTTTCTAAAACTGGAGTTCAAAAAGTGATTAAAAGATACAGAGAAAATGGCACTCCTAATCAGGCCTGGTAGAGCACCTAAAACTCACCATCAGATAAATAGTACCTAAAGCAACACTATGTGAGATGTGGGGTTTTGGAGACCTCTCTGGTGGAAATGTTTAATTGCACACAATGTGCAAAAGAACACTTTGTAACGTTGGTTGTTCTACGGAAACCACAAGCGGATGAATCTGATGACCGTGAGTGTGTTGAAAGAGTATTCGAAGAGAACTCAGTAAAAACTTGGTGAAGGATGCGTCTTCTGAGGATGTAAGTGAATTGTCTAGTACTGTCATCATATAGTAAAATGTTAATTTTGCATTTGAGACCTTAACATTAAGTCGGGCTTTCTTTTTGAGCCTGTGCATACGATGTTCATATGTCAAAAAAAATCCGTCCCAGTACATCTGACTTTTAGATGATTATTTCAGGCCATACAGGGTGGCTCACAGCGGTGCACACAAACCATATTTTAGTGTGTTCTTTTTTCTCCATATTCATTAACGCTGCTTCTTTCAGTTTTAACAAAAAATATTACATAGTGCTGCTTTAAAGCTTTCATGAGAGACAGAGGAGAAAATCCAGCGCTGCTCTCCACTCTTCATCTAAAAAAATCCACAGGTGTTTCTGTCCATCCTTCCACTGTAAGAAGACAACTCAACACTATGAGATTGAGATTACTTGGATTGTGAGAAGCAGAAAATGCAACCAACTTCTAAGACTGAACTTTAGAGGTATGGAAAAATATCCTTTTTATATATCCAGATTTTTTTTGTTTTGTTTTGAACAACCGAAAGGTAGTATCCTCAAAAGAATGGAAGCTGTAAAAAGGCAAAGTGAGGAAACATTAGGTACTGATTTCATTAGTTCTTGACACTGAAAAATGAATAACTTTATAATTAATAGTCATTTTAACTGGAAATTAAATAAATGAAAGGTGATCTCTGACTTTTGCCCGGTACTGTGTAGATACCTTATGCTGATAAATTGCAAATCATTCTGCAATCTTGCATGTGCTTTTCCCAATATTGTTTATTATTTGTAATGCACATTTGTTAGTATGTAAAGCCTGTTTGTGCATTTTTGGATACTGATTGAGTAGTCTTCTTGGAAAATGCACATGGAAACCATGCAAAGTAGTAAATCATGAGGTCATGCAATTTATTAACTTTTTGTTCTATTCTGCATGTATAGGGCACATTTGCTTTTTCCCTCATCAAGTACACACCTCTGAAATACAACAGTGTGTATGTGTATCCTTGGTGGGGTTATGCAGTAGGCTGGCTCCTGGCTCTGTCCTCCATGCTGTGCATCCCCGCATGGATGATCTTCAAGATCGCCAACACAAAAGGAACTCTAATAGAGGTATTATAAAACAGATTTGGTTCTAAAACACTGCCAAAGCCATTGGAAAATACTTGATATTTACACATACAAACGCACACATCAACTGAAATCTGTTTTCCGGGTGGGCAATATGCCAATATGTTATCATTACCATGATAAATTATATCATATTACGGTTTTTATTGTGGATATCAACAGTAAAAAACACAGACCAACTGCATTTTTCATTACAAAGAGAGATTAATTAGTCCAGTTTTACTGACCCCTTAAAATCACATCTTTATTTCTAGTTCTATTATAGATCTATTTATTTCTTATTTCTATTTCTTAGATATATTTATGTAAATTAACAACAGCATATATAGATAGGTACAGACCTTTTTTTTAAAAATAACAAGTATTAACCGTAAAATTTTCCTATACTTTCACAGTGAAAATCTGTTTTTTTTATTATTTTTATACTGTAGCACAGTAGGTGTAAATAAAATCATTGTACTGACAGTTTTCAAAAGCATTTCAAACAATGGAATAAGTGGTCCATTTTGCTGTTCCAACTTATCAAACCTATGTATCATGTGTTCTGAATAAGTTTTTAAGAAAAAAGATTTGGTAATTGTGCTATATTGCCCACCTTTGATAATGCATCAACTCACTAAAAACTATTGTGCTGTTCATGGAATAACTCATAGAATAATTTTTGACCGTCCTGATTGTCATGTAGCAAGGCATATTGAACTATATTGCTTTTTGGATGAATTGTTTGTTGTGATTATTATTAATAATAAATATCAACATTGATGTATTTTGATAGAATTATTGCATCTATTATTCTATGTCATCCTATTCTTAAACAAACACTCTGTAACTGTGGTAAAATCACTGTAATGCATGGCCTCTTGTGACTTATTACTTTATAATGTTACTGTGAAAAATGCAGTTCTAATATCTGCTTACAGCAACACCTAAAAACAGCTGCCTTCCTCTTCCTCTCTCTTGTAGCGCCTCAAAATCCTTACTAAGCCATCAAGTGATTTACCCAAAACCAAGAAGGAGGAAGAGAGGCTGCTGGCTATTTTTACTGTGGGGAACTCAGCCTCACCTAACAAGGACGACTTCCTCTCAGAGCATCTGAAGGACACAAAACTGTAGATTTTTAATTTTTTACTCAATCCATCTGTTTGAGTGTTCATCCATCTTCATCAACTTCATCTGCCTGAGAATATTTCAAAAAGGACAGACAAAAAATGTTTTAAAATAATTCTGAGGAACAAGGATACAGAGGTTTTGCTTCAGAGGTGGGGAACTCCAATCCCAGAGGGCCAGGTTCTTGCACTGTTTGGTGATTTTCCTCCCCAAGCACATCTGATTCTATTCATTAACGAACGGCCAGGTTTAGTTGGTGTGCTACAGTAGAGAAATCGTCAAACTGTGCTGGACTCCAGCCCTCAGTTCCTCACCCTGTTTTACATTTATGGACCTACTTACTTGATGTCATATTGTCATACTGGTGCTCAGCCTTTTCTCTCTGAAGGACTAAAACAGTTGCATATTGAGGAAAATACAAATTTGCAGCTGTCAAATTACTAGTCAGTTTACTGATAGGCAGTTACTGATATAGAGGTAGTGTTACTGTGCACACAAATACAACACACAGTGATAAAATAATAATGTTTAAATTGACTTAATGTACTCAATTTCTACACGTCCATATTCCACCCCTTCTTCATAAACTGCAGTGGTTCTTTATCACTTTCCCGAATTCAATACAAGTTGCTGCTTATAACATTCAAAGCCATCAACTTAATTTTTTCCTCCATACGTTGCTGAACTTCTACACACACTCCAGCCTGTACGCTTAAGTCCCCTGGTTCTGCTCTGCTAAGGCTACTCTGTCATAGAACTTAAGCCCACCTCTTTACTCTATTCTTCCTTGATGCAAATGATGCTATCACTGCTGTAGGATTAATTATGTTTATTTCTGTACTGCTTCAGCCCTGTTATCTGTCCACTGTCCCCTCCCTCAGCTCTGTTATCTGTCCACTGTCCCCTCCCTCAGCTCTGTTATCTGTCCACTGCTCCCCCAGCTCTGTTATCTGTCCATTGTCCCCTCCCTCAGCTCTGTTATCTGTCCACTGTCCCCTCCCTCAGCTCTGTTATCTGTCCACTGTCCCCTCCCTCAGCTCTGTTATCTGCCTCCTATTTTGCTTTTATTTCTATTATATTTGACTGTTGTATTAAGCCTTGTTTCTATTTTGTTTGCCTGTTACTGTATTGTTCATGGATTTTGTAATGCAAACTTGAATTTGGCGCTATATTTTAGTAAATTATTATCATTATTATTATTATTATTATTATTATTATTATTATTATTATAAGAGGTGGTAGTAGTAATCGTGTACATGAATAAAATATATTACATCAACATGGAACAATTGTTGCCAAAAAGTAAGTAAACCAATAAACAAAATTTTCATGTGAAAATAATGTTCACGTTCAAAACAAGTAAATTCAACGCATCACTTTTTTAGTGCAGAGCTGTGGTGGCATTATAGAGTTGTTAAGTAAAACTAAATTTAAAAAATAGTATCTGTTGACCAGTTGACCAGTTCACTGGGGCATGAGATACTCCCATCTTTCAACTTTCCCCACCTTACAGTTTGTGTAAAGAGCCACTTAAGAGCCTTTATAGATAACGTAAACATGCAGTCAAATTTGATCACATTATTTGACTGTGCTGATGCTTAGTATTGGCATGGTGGTGCAATGGGTAGCACTGCCACCTCACCGCAAGAAGGTGGGTTCGATTCCCCGGGTGGGCAACCAGGGTCCTTTCTGTGTGGAGTTTGCATATTCTTCTCATGTCTGTGTGTTTCCTCCCACAGTGCAAAGACATGCAGTCAGGCAAAGTGGAGATGCCAAAGGTGCGAGTGTGTGAATGTGTATGTCCTGCCTCTCGCCAAGTAAGCGCTGGGATAGGCTCCTGCAGCCCCTGTGACCCATGAGGATAAGCGGCTTAGAAATGTGTGTTGATGCTTTCACAGTGTGAGTATGCATGGTTGTACTACAGTGTTGAACTTTCTACAACACCAGTTGTCAAAGACATTTGAACCTTATTACCAGAATTGGATTTTGCAATTTTTTGAGGTCTCTATGAGTTAATTGCACCATATAAAATGAGATTTGTCTGGTATTAAAGAGAATTTTCCAAATATCTGCATATTTCAATGATTTGAGATGAGATGCAAACAAAGTCATTCAGAGAGGTTTGATGTGAAATGCTCCATTCTAGAGAGAGTGTTGGTGATAGGAAACATCTGAAGAGATAAATGCCTCTAAAAGCTCCCTCACCAAAAGCTATTACAGGAAATGGTCATGAATACGCTGCCTAATGCCTGAGACATTGTTTTATGATAAAGCTTGAGTTGAGATAAAGCTTTGGGCTAAAACATACTTTGAAATCCAATTATGGTGGCAGTACAGGGTGTTGTAAGGCAGAATAGTCCCCAAAAAAGCATTTTTTTTTCAGATTTACTAAACATTAATGTGTATAAATGTAAAACTCAGAAGACATGTGTAGGTGCTGGTCATTTTGGATGCAAAGTGCTATTTATCATGAGCCATGGTTCCTATCACCACCACTGTAAAGAGTCAGTTTTTCTCCAGTGCACCATTTTACATCAAACCACTCCATATATTCTCATTAAGGCAGTAGACTCTCATGAATGTGCTGTATATACATCATTATATTTTGCTTTTTTTCTACTTTACCTTATAAAAGTAAAAAGAAAAAAAAAGATGCTATATGTTAAGAAATGTGAAACAATGGTCTTGTGTATAGAAAATACAACCCCATTTCTGAAAAAGTTGGGATACTTTGCAAAATGTAAATGAAAACAAAATGCAATGATGTGCAAATCAGTTAAACCCTACATCTATTTGAAAATAGGACAAAGATAACATATCAAATGTTGAAACTGAGAAATTCTTATTGTTTTTTGAAAAATGTATGCCCATTTTGAATTTGACGGCCGCAACATGATCCAAAAAAATTGGGATGGGGCAACAAAAGGCTGGTAAAGTTGTGTAATGCTTAAAAACGCCTGAACATTGTTTGGCAACAGGTCAGTAACATGACTGGGTATAAAAAGATCATCCCAGAGAGGCTTTCAGAAGTTAAGATGGGGAGGGGTTCATCACTCTGTGAAAGACTGTGTGAGCAAATAGTGCAACAATTCAAGAATAACATTTCTAAACGTAAAATAGCAAAGAACTTTTGCTTTTCATCATCTATGGTACATAATAACATCTGAGAATCTGGAGAAATCGCTGTATGCAAGGGACAAGGCTAAAAACCAGTACTGGCTAGCCCTGATCTTTGGGCCCTCAGATGGCACTGCATTAAAACAGACATGATTCTGTGGAAATCACTGCATGGACTTCTGAAAAACACTGTCTGTGAACATTGTTCATCACTGCATCCACAAATGCAAGTTAAAACTCTACTATGCAAAGAAGAAATCATATATAAACAGGATCCAGAAATGCCGCCACCTTCTCTGGGCCCAAGCTCATTTAAAATGGACTGAGGGGAAGTGGAAAAGTGTTCTGTGGTCTGACAAATCAACATTTTAAATTCTTTTTGGAAATCATGGACACTGTGTCCTCCAGGCTAAAGACCATCAGGCTTGTTATCAGCACACAATGGAAAAGCCAGCATCCGTGATGGTATGGAGGTGCATTAGTGCACATGGCATGGGTGACTGGCATATCTGTGAAGGCACCATTAATGCTGAATGATATATACAGACCTGTCACCCACTCATAACATATGGCACTATGAAACAAGAAATATGACAAGAGACCCTGAACTGTTGAGCAGCTGAAATCCTATATAAAGCAATAATAGGAAAACATTTCACTTTCAAAACTACATCAGTTGGTCTCCTCAGTTCCCAAACAACAGAGTGTTGTTAAAAGAAGGGGTGATGAAACACAGTGGAAAACATGCCCCCGTCCCAACTTTTTTGGACTGTGCTGCTGCTTTCATATTCAAAATAGGCATACATTTTTTCAAAAAACAATAAAATTTCTCAGTTTTAGCATTTGATATGTTGTCTTTGTACTGTTTCCAAATAAGTATAGGGTTTAAATGGTTTGCACATCATTGCATTTTGTTTTTATTTACATTTTGCACAGCATCCCAACTTTTTTGGAAATGGGGTTGTAGAAAACAGCTGTTTAGACTCCTACAAATTAAATAGAAAATTTTATTGTGAACTTTCATGCATACATGTGAAACGTTGCTAGTGTAATGTTACATAGATAACCCAATCAGCTACAGTAATAATCATGTACTTATAATTAACCATAGTTAACTATAATGTGTGCTAGGCCTCCACAGATGGAAAGAAATACCTTTCTGCACAACCAGATATCAGAATTGGTTAGTTTTGTTATGGAGCATGTAGATATGTTAAGACGTGGCACTAGGCAATTAGTAAACAGTAAACTGAATGTCTATTTATTTTGTGTATTTATTATTGAAAAAGTGAAAAATGACTGTAATAAATAAACAAGTATGATAAGAATGACCTCTTCTGCCCTCTCCCTCCACTTCTCATACACAGACATAGACACAGACAGTGACATGAGAAACAGTGAGTGGAAGATGATATGGAGTTACTTCACTCCACTAAACACTCAGTTTAGTGTTGGTTTATTTAACGCAAAGGCTTTGAAGTATATCTTGTGAAGTCTACATTTACCAGTTCTCACTGTAGAAATGAGGAGATCCCCACACAAGGAGAATCCCACATTTTTACATGTACAAGAAGACTTCTGAACGTATCAGAATTTGTACTGTTATCAGGTTATTAGTCTTAGAATTGGAAAAAAGAAAAGTAGGTTAGTGGTGTCACCCCTGCCTGCCTCTTAGGCCTCCCTACACAGTGCCCTACTTACATCACGAATATAGTACACCTCATGCCCTCTCTTTGGCTGAAACCAAAACGACTACCTTTTGAACATATAGTGCATCATTTGGTTGCAGATACTGTTATTTCATGATCTATGTACAGTACAAGGAACAGGCAACTATGTGAGTTTTCAGCCTTAGCGTTTTTCCTGCCACTGTCACCTTCAACTTGCTATAGAAGCCCACTCCTGCCAGGCGGGGGAGAAATTATTGGCTTTTTTTCTCTCATTCTCTGTTTCTGACAGCAGTGTGTCAGTGTGGGCTTTCTTAACTTGCTCCTTAGGGGTCTGGGCCCAGATTTAGTAAAGGCAGTTTGGGATAACGTCAAAATATGAATTAAAAATAAAAATAAAAATAAAAAATAAATGGATAAAAATGCATCTGACTCTAGCTATCTGCCCACGAGTCATACGTTGTTATGGTTACCGTGTGCACGCCTGCCTGTCAGTTTACAACAGCGCAAGCCGCTGATTGGCTAAACGCTCCCGTCCGTGTAGAGGGATACGAGCAGCCGATTGGTTAAGTTGGTCTATCCGTCGTTTGCGACCGAAGCCGCTGAGTGGCTAAACGTTCTGTCCATCCAGCAGAACCCCTGCTGATGATTGGCTAAACTTCAGCTTGACGTAATCGCCGTCCCCCCCATTCCACTATCCCACAATGCAGCGGGCGATGCCCAAGGAAAGATGGCGGAGGGAGGAGCGGCTGATCTGGAGACTCAGAGAGGAGAGATCGCAGCGCTGCTCAAAACGCAGCTCCGGAAAGGAGATACGTGGTGAGAGTGTACTGCCGACCTTTCTCACATCCAAACCCGCTGCTGTCGGTCCTTGTCGTCGCTGTCCGAACCGAAATGGAGCGAAAAGAAGTCGTGTTGACAGCTAGTCGCCGTTAGCTGTTAGCTGGCCAGAGAAAACCGACAACGATTTATCTCCTCAGCGCTGTTCAGCGCAGCTCCGAGCGCGGAACATCACCAGAGCCTTTCACAGTCTGATAGCTGAGAGCGAGAGCTCTCCTATCTGTTCGTCTATCTCTCTGGTGTAGCTGGCAAACGTTAACGTTGCCATTCAGGGCGGAGACGAGAGAAGCACCTGTCATTTAGCTTTCCTCTCCTGCGAGGCAGCGCCAGCTTAAACATGATAGAGCAAGTTCAGTGCCGGCTTCGGTCGTGTAGACCAGACACACTCTACAGCTTCGTGTTTTTGCTTCTCTAACACGCGATTCAGTTCAGACTTTGTCGTTAATTCCACTGTAATTAGCATGATTCAGAGGTTGAGATATGAACAGAGTCATTCAGAGTGGATTAATGTGAAAAGGGTCATTTGAGGAGACTCAGATTTCTTTACAGTGGTGGTGATAGGAACCAGGGGTCGCCATGTCTACAACACAAATTTAACCATTTTATTTCGTATTCAGAATCCATAAACTGATGAAAATACGTTTTAGAACAAGAACTTAATCACTAAAACTACTGTAAATGTCTCATCAGACAGCGTATTGATAACCATTTCATGTAGTAACTTTTTCTTTGGTAGTTTTTAGAGGCATTAAACTTCTCAGATGTCTGGTTCCTATTCTGACTCGGCAGGTTACTGTAGAATGAAACATTTCACAGCAAACCACTCTGAATGAATTTGTTTACACCCTAACCATTTAATCATGCAGGAACACAATCTGTACTACAGGACTGTTTCATTTACTTTCATAGACTGAAACTTAACTGTTGAATCAGAATGATCAACACCTAGCGACCTCCTTTAGTGGTACTGTAGACATGGGCAAAGTCTAAAAAGGTTAATGCCAACAGTGAAAGCTTTTTATCCTAGCCTTTTGCTTAATCTAGGAAACTCATCCTTAGATCTTTAATTTATTAAGATCTAAGATAAAATTTGTTTCCTGTCCCTGTAGCATGTCTTAGACCATTTATTTGTATGCTCCATGAGTAAGCATAGAAGTCTGATTGTCTTACAGTGCTCTTTAGATTGTGCTATACATACAGAAACAAGTCAAGAGGTTGATGGGCTTCTCATTCGAGACTTTCTCTCAAGATCACATTCGTCACTAATTGTAAAAAGAAATCTGATCAAATCAAAGAAATATCCTTGCTAGTTTGCGTCTGAAACTGAGTGAATTGTGAAATCACGTTTATACGCATGTTGCTGTTTTTCATTATGTAGTAATTCACTCAGTCAAATGTAACCATCTCTGTTATCCTTTACAGGTACTTGATAGATAGTCACTGGTTCAAACAGTGGAAGAAATATGTGGGCTTTGACAGTTGGGACAAGTACCAGATGGGAGATCAGAATGTCTACCCTGGACCGGTGGACAATTCGGGTCTCCTTAAAGGTTAGCAACTGCTTCAGTGTCATAATTCAAGGGATAAGTCTGTTCTCAAACCTAGATGAACCTGGCTTGAATTGTTGTGTTCTCTAGATGTAAGAAGTTACAGTAAAAATGATTGATCATGATTGAGAAAACAAGAAAGAAAATAACAAGGGGGGAATTATAATAATATCAAAAGTTTTGATGTTCCTAGGAAACAGAATTGGCTAAAAATGTGAGTTCTTAGCCACGCAGTTAACCAGTGCTTGTCTCCTTGTGCTTTCTTTTAGATGCTGATGTACTTGCCATTAAGGAACATCTTATCGATGAGTTGGACTACATCCTTGTGCCCACTGAGGGCTGGAATAAGTTAGTGAGCTGGTATGGGCTGACTGAGAGCCAGGAACCCATCGCCCGAAAGGTATGTGTCACTGAAATTTAGTGTGCATAAAAATGTTTATTTGATTCTAAAGTGAAAGCAGTGCTTATTACTGTAAATCATAGACAATTGGTGGTTTTAATGGGTTTTTACCTGTCAAGCAGTGATTAATTTGGATGTCTGATTGGAGTCCTTTATGAATGAAATACATTTGTTTAGTACATAAGCATCAACAGACAACATGTTTACGGTACATTATATTTGCATAGTATCACACAGGAAATGTTCTGTGTTGTTATTTTTATCATCTCTGTGCTGTTCATAAGAAAACTAAAGCCCAGTTGTGTTTCATAACATAAAATACAATTTTGAGTTGAAATGTATTCAGAGTTAGTGTCAAGTTTTGTTTCTTTTTCCTATGGCCATCAGTGTATAAATCTTTGTTGGTATAGGTGGTGTTTAACTTCTGTTAGCTCAGTTTTCCCTCCATATGTGTGTCAGTCTTATCATTCAACTTGTTTTTGTTTTTGTAATCATATATATTTAAGTCAAGTTAAATATGGCATTTTAAAAAATCATATATAAATAAGTCTAATAAGGCATTTACATTACACATGTAAATACATCATATATGCAGTCTTCTAAAGCACTCAGAGAATTTGTCAACATCTTGCTACATGTTGACACTGCTGTGACTATTTAGGCCTTCCTCGCTTCTGTTAACATAGGCAGCGATGCTGCTTGTTCAGATTTACTCAGTCATGGCATCATGGCTGCTTCTGGGGTTTCTCTTCACCCCATCGATCCGCCCCTTTTTGCCATGTATGTCGCAGGGGGTATCGAGTGGCTGGTGCGTTTCTATTTTCAGAGGGGCTCTGGATGACTGAAACGCTACATGGAGCGATCCGCTAGGCACAACATGCAAGAGGTTCTTCCTTTTTCTCAATTTTGGGGCTTCTGGTTCTGAATGGAGGTCGATTGGAATATAGTGTGCCTTTGGGCCTTCGCGCAGCCTAGAGCCCAACTCTAGGGGCCTGATTTTGGGTGTCCTTGTTTCGAAAGAAGAGGAATGCCGGCTGAGGTCAGAGAGAGGGGGTAAAGACAGTGAGAGAGATAGAGGGAGAAAGCGCTGGAGTTTTAGAGGCATGATGGGAGTAGAATCATGGGAGTAGAATCACACTGGTTCAGTGTATAAAATAGTGCTTTATATATTTTGGCTTTGTAGGAGGCCCAGTCTGAACCAAGAGTTTGAGGCAGTTTGTTCCTATGGTGTTGGGCCACCAGTGGAGGGGCTTGTGTGAAATAAATAGGATGGGTTCGTTCAGCTGTCTCTGCGCTTGGTTGCTAAATTAAGAGTCTCTCTGACTTGCTTGTTTCAACATAGTGACTAGCATTATGGTATACTGAGCCGTCACTGCCTCACTTTACACCTGGACTTTACATTGCGGTTGTAATTAGCAGGCTGCGTGTGTGTATTTTTTTTTTTTTATATATATATCGTAAATATCTTATCTCTTAAATGCTTTAAGCTTTTTGCCTTTTTTTTCGATTCTGGTTAAAGTCAGTATTGTAGATTAGTGTAGTCAGTATTTTTGACTAGTATTTTTCCTGTGCAAAATTCTTGTATGTGGACTTTTTTTTCATATTGCAGCAGTATATTGTGCAGGTTGTTGATGTTATGTGTTTACAGTTGTGAGTTGAGCCTCTTCAAATCTAAGGAATAGGAAAGTTGCTGTTTGTAATTTTCCATGCGTTTTCCACAAAACGTGCCTATTGGACCATTATCTGTAGTTTCTTCTTTTTTTCATAAAATAGATTAATGATTAAAAAAGAGAAGGCCAAATTTTCTTTTAAAGTATAATGTCTTTGAAAAATGACTTTGAATTAGAGAAATGCCTTTCTATTCCACAGAACTTGGTTCAGGCATCCCCAGGGTCTAAATAAGCTGTGCAACTAGTGTTAGACCATCATGAATAGCATGAATAGCAGGGAATAGCAAGCAAATGAATGTTAATTAATGTCGTTGCTTTGGTCTTTGCAGGTTGTTGAGCAGGGAATGTTTGTAAAGCACTGCAAAGTGGAGGTCTACCTCACCGAACTGAAACTATGTGAAGACAGCAACATGGACAATATTGTCACCAGACGCTTCAGCAAAGCGGACACAATAGGTAAGTTTACTTTGTTAATGTGTTTGTGGTTGGTATCACTGTAACAAAGGACTGGTCTAAAGAGAAGTCCCCACATTCTCATTCATTCATTCATTTCATGTAATGAAATGCATGAAGGATCTTGATCAGGTTTGAAGTGAGTTGTATAAATGTTTTTGGGATTTCTTGGCCATCTCATGCTCTACTGTTCAAAGGCTTGAAATCACCATTCAAAAGTTTGTAAGCACTGTTTTCAGTGATATAAGACTAAATTTGTTGCAGTTACATATGTAACATAATGCTAATATGAAGCTGGTACTCTACAACTTCACAGATGAAATTATACTAAAATTAACATTCTTTTGAAAAGTGATGATCAAATCCTTCTGGTGTCTAGCTTTAAGTATTTCAGTCTACACCATGTAAGTTATTATTGCATGCCATGACAGCAGTTATTAGTATGACATGTGATTCTAAACTTTTGAATGGTAGGGTACAATACTGTGCAAAAGTTAGTGACTCTTCATTCATTTAATTTCCAATCAAACTAGCTATTAAGTAAAAGTTCTTCATTTTTCAGGATATATTTTTGAGGAGATTAGATATAAGATAATCCACTTCCATAAGGAAGGGGAAGGTCAAAGGAAAAAGAGAGAAAAAAACAGAGCTTCCAAAAGTGGAATTATTTAAAGATAATTTAAAAAATAGGATTCCTTACAACTGTGTAATACCTGACAGACCACCAAAACTGTGATCATCAGATAAACAGTACTTAAAGCTTTTATCTTTGAGAAAGAGGAGAAAATGAAACTCCACTCTTGTTTCAGATCTGAAAAAAGTGTTTCTGTTCGTCCTTCCACTGTGAGAGGAAAACTCTGTGCTATCAATCTGAAAGAATGTTGCACATGTCAGGAAGCCCATACTGAGAAAAGCAAATAGACAAAAAAGAAGAAAACTTAAAAGACTGAACTTTGGAGGTGTAGAAAAATATCCCTGCAGATTTCTTTGGGAAAACTAAAAGCAAGTCACCAAAGAAAATGGAAGTTGTAAAAAAGGGACATTCTGAAATACTGAAAAAGTAATATTTTATTTAGGTCTTGAGGAGTCTGAGTGTGTTTTTTTTTTTTAGTAAAATATGTTTTTTCCCTAATGCTGAAAAATGTACTTTTGTCTAGAAAAAGAAGTGATGGTGGTTGGGCTCTGACTTTTGCACAGTATAGAATTTCAGATATATGGTCAAACTGTCATTTTAATTAGGTAGAAATACATAAAGAACAGATGTGAGAAATTTATGTGGGTATTTGTTTACCACAAATGGCTCTGAAGGAATCACCCCCAGCATTGTTTTTCCCTTAATGGCCCATTGACTAATTTGCACATGTGAACTAACTTTACAGGACTTATATCTGATCAGTGGTGCCTGGTTTGTTTGCCTACCCTGGTTTTGTCAAAGTCATAACCAAGCATACAAACTGACTAACTGTTTGTGATCCATATAAAGCCCAGATTTTGTGTTGTTGAAGTATTGAGTATTCTTTGTCATTTCTTAACAACTGTACAGCCCGAACATAACTTGCCTATAGCTGTTATTATATATACCTTATATATAGTGACTCATCAATGGCTAAACCTTGAACTTCTACAAATATCTTTCAGAGCACAGAAACACATTTTGTTTTGAAGCGAGGCTTCTTTCAGTGACTGCTAAAACGAATTGTCACAGATCAAGGATAAAGTGTCCTTTAGGAACCTAAAAAACAGAAAATAATGCTGAGAACATTAACATAACCTATGTTAAAACAGTGATAATCTGCTAATCTAGTACTGTGCTATATCTTTGCTCTTTGAGCACAGCAGCCTCATCTTTGCTTAGTTCTCTTTATACAATTATCAGTCTTCTGGTGTTGATAGCAAAGGCTCTTAAAGCATACCTTACTGCCAAGGTTCAAACTGCTTAATTATTACTGTTGAAAGCTTGACTGACACATTAATAGCCTTGCCACTTTCACAGGTAAAAGGCAGCATGCTGTTAATCTCCACATGATTAGAAAAGTCTTGTTGGTTTTAAACACACATACAAAATGGTCATATAACTTGTGTAAGTTTTTACTCAGTTGGTGGAGAATGATTTGAAATGTATGGCAGTCAAAAATGTAACATTTTTGACAGTCTTTAATTAGACACAGCAACTAGGGAGTAAAAACACAATATTTAATGAAAAGCATTTGTACCTTTTTCAAATCATTTAGAGTTTGTCCTGGCAGAAGTGGAAACTATTTGGGTGCATTGTTGTGTATATTGATTTTTAAGCTCTGGATGCAGTAATGGGGAGTATAAGGAGGATGAAGCTGTTTCCTAGGCTGACAGGCCACCCATTGCATCCTTGAAAGTAGACTCACATTTACTGGTGGACCAGCATGATATGCTAGAATAGATGATTATAAGAGTTAAATAAGGGCTCATATGAGACTTGTCCTTTACAGATATCATTGAAAAGGAGATGCGCAAGCTGTTCAGCATTCCTGACGAAAGGGAAACCAGGTTGTGGAACAAATACATGAGCAACACATTTGAGCCTTTGAACAAACCAGACAGCACCATTCAGGATGCTGGACTCTATCAGGGGCAGGTAGGAAGTGGACGTGCTCCAGACAATAACACTCACAAATGATACACTGAACTGATTTCCAGAGTTACATTTAATCTCTTTTCTTGCAGACATAATTTAGCTTAGGATGTTTTAAAGTAATGAGATGATGGACTGAAGGACTTGCGTGATTTATGTTCTATTTATCTATGTTAATGTATACACACGATTATTGTTTGTAGAATATTGATATCATCAAATTCACTTACGAAGCACCACATCTGAGTGTTGCAGAGTCTTACCCTATAGCTTGCATTTTCCCTGATAATATCACATAATTATCTTCTGGGTTAGCTTTTACTATTATCATAACTATATTCTGCACAGTTGGCGTGTAATGTTGCTAATATACAGCGGTTCTCTGTGTTTGTTTGATTGGAAACGACAGTATTAAACAAGTGCTTTGGCATTCTTCTTCTGGTCAAGCACTTCAATTTTACTCTCAACCAGAGAGCAGATCTCATGTACCAGAGTTTCTTTGTATCATGTGCGTAGTCCCCAACATTCTTTGCCAGATTTAAATTCTGTTATAATCTTTCCAAGTAACATTCAAAGTATGTATGTGTGTTAAATAGTTCATGTACTGTTTTTATAGCCTGTAATTAAAGGCAGTCTTTTCTGTTGGATACATTTTTAACAAACCATAGTTTACGATTATTGGGAATGTAAGATTATTACGTATAAGATGATAAGGGAATGGTTAAATAAAGCCGAATCAAAAGAAAGAAACAATGATAATTTGCATAATATCAGCACTAATCTAAATTATTACGATTATCAGCCCAAAAGTAGTATGTGATTTACCCAGTTGTCCTATAGATATAAAGCTCTGCCTGTGTAGCTCTGTCTAGATGTCAATGCTTCCCTTAACTTGGAGCACAGTAGGCTTGTTCAATTTAACTTGGCACTGCGCAGACTAATTGCTGCCTGGCACGGTACAGTACATGCTGGTTAGTTTTTTTTGTTTCCGACTTTTGTTGGTGGCTCCAGCGCATCACCAGCGCATGTAATGCATCATTACATATGCTGATATAATCTCGCAGGATTGAGGTGCCTGCAGTTTTCAGAGACAGGTGGTGCAATTGCTCACCACCCAACTACACAGGTTGAGAGATGGCTTGTTGGCAGCAGAGAATAAATTTCTTATTTAATAGCCCAATGAGGCAAATGAATACTAATAATGGGTTTGCATGTCCATGTATTTGATTATCACCGCCATCTCTATTTTTGACAAGGTGTGAAAGGTCTAAAAGGACAGTAACTGTGCAGCACAGTCCGTTTTATTGGCAGGGCCTGTGCCAACTGTTCTGTTGCAAATTTAGGCTCTCTGTAGGCAGCTAAATTGTTTCTGTTCAGATTTGATTCCATTTTATTGCAAATTCGATTTTGCCCGATAGCCAACCATTAATAGTCTGATTACCCTTTAACCGACCAACCTAAAATCATGGACACGACCCATAAAAACGTCAAATGCAGCACTGTGTTTTATATAAACAAGCCTTTAGGCCTTATTGAATGAAAAAATGCAGCCTAACATAACAGATATAACAGCATACATAAAGGTAATTAACACGAAATTGCTAGTTCAACTTTTTGTTGGTCATGTGACTTACTACACAGGATAACTGTTAGGTAAAAAACACATTTGTAGGCTATAGCTAAAGGCTGAAATGAACAGAAGCAACATGACTACTAAAAAGTCTAAGTTGTAGCCTACATTAGCACTGTGTCATTTGGCTAAACGTGCTAGTTGTGGTGGTGCTGTAAACTGCATTTGTTCTATTCTTTGCTATATCCCTTTATTAATGGCTCTGTTGGTTGAAGAGTTGATGGTTGAACACCATGAACTCTTCTGGCAGAAGTTAAAGAGCCTGAGTTATCTCCAGAAAACCTGCAGCTGTAGATCACCACCAGTTACAAGTTGTGCTCTTCACATACAGTTCAAAAACAGTCCTTGAATCGAAGGAAAAACCTGCTTATTCCAACATCAGTTGTTTATCAGAAAATAAATCAGCTTTTTAACCAAAAGCATTGGTTGAACATTGATGTATTTGTCAGTTATCCCAGCTGTTAATAGTCTATTAAAGAGAGCAATACTCAAGCCAAAATACTTAAGAGCTCGAGCTCTACATATTGTCAAATAGACATGTTGTTATATAGCTCAAGCTTGAGTCTGACACATTTTCAGATAAATTTTAGATAATTCTGGTCATGTGTTCGGTATCAGTTACTGAAGTAATCAGTTATTAAAGTCAGCGATTAATGTATTACCTTTTTCTTTTTTGTAGGTTCTAGTTATAGAGCAGAAGAACGAGGATGGAACGTGGCCTCGCGGTTCCTCCACACCAAAGTAAGTGACATGCATGCTGCTCTCTTCTGCTTTTCATTATTATCGGTGGACAGAGTGGAAGGATGTTCTGTGTGGTTGGTTGTTTAGCAGTAATCATGGGTTTACTTTAGTCCTAATTGTAATGGCAGCCCATGAGAAAGTCCTAATTCACTCTCTGTGTATATATCATTTTATACCCATTTAAATAGATGATCAGAAACCCTCTTCAGACCTCAGAGCTCCTACTTTCTTTTATTCTGCTACTCAGTCTCAGCTTTTTTTTCTGTTCAGCTTATCATTTATCATATACTTGTGCATATTTACTACGCTTTATGTATACTTTGCCTTAGTTGCTTCCATAACCCATTTCATTGTTTTTGTAAGAGTGATAACACTTGCTTCAATTTCTTAAGGCTAAGAAAGGCTTTGATTTCTTCTAACTCATGATATTCTTATCTTTTGAAGGTCATCTGGTGCTTCCAATCTCTCTGCTTTACCAAAGATCTCCCCTACATCTCTCACAAACAATCATAACAGCAGCTTCAGCAGCAGGAAGTAAGCGCCAATTGGGCGTGGCTCAGTGGGAGGGCTTATGGGAGGGAGGGTCAAATATAGTCGCACCGTACTCAAAGAACAGCATGAGTCTGTGTGTGTGTTTCTACTCTTCATGGCCATCCAAGTACGCCAAATAGCCTCCTTTCCCTCGTCCTATCTCAATACCAGTATCCTTGTGGAAAGTTCATAGGAAGGCTTTCTTTTTTGGTAGATTCTCAGGCATTTTGCCGCTTGTATAACTTAAAGTGCACTAGGGAAAGGAGGGAGGGAACAGTTTGGAGTATTGGGACAGAGCCTCTGTCTGTTCTTCTGCCCAGCTTGAGGAGTGCCTCTGTGTGTGTGCTGATTTCCTCTGAGGTGTAGTGCTGTTTAATCCACATTTAGCTTAGTGGATTTTTGGAGGTTATGTACACAGGACATCGATCATAGAAGGGGAATATTAAATCATAGAAGTCTCAAGATCAGTCTACATGCATTTCCCTGTATTTCTTCCCCTTTTAGTATATTTATATGAATTGGGGAAAATGTCATAAGACTGAATAGTAAAGGTCAGCTGTTTGTTGAGCTTTGCTCTAGCACTTAAGTATGTACAGTACTGTGCAAAAGTCAGAGACCATCCTTCATTTGTTTAATTTCCAGTGAAAATGGCCATTAAGTATTAAGTTACTCATTTTTATCATCAGGAAAAATGCAGAACACGTATATTTAACAAAAAAATATGCAGAAGCCTCAACAACTAAATATAGTATATAATGTTCCAATATTTAATGTGTCCACCCTTTGCCTTTGCTCTGTTCTCAGGTTCTGTTCTTTTTAGTCACTCATTTTCAGTTTTTCAAAAAGATCTGCAGGGATATTTTTCCGCACCTCTGAAGTTCGGTCTTAGAAGTCGGTTGCATTTTCTACTTCTGGTGTTCCGAGCAATCCCAAACACTTTCAGTGATGTTGAGATCTAAGCCAGTCCATTGTTCTGAGAATACCAGTTTTATTTCCTTTTTTGTCTATTTCCTTTTCACAGTAACAGCTTCCTGACAAATAGACATTCATTCAGACCCATAGCGTTGTTGTAGCATAGTTGTTTCTTACAATGGAAGGATGGACAGAAACACAAATCTGAAGCAAGAGTGAAGCCTAATTTTCTCCTGTCTCTCAACGAAAGCTTTAAAGGACTGTTTATCTGATGGTGACTGTATTAGTCAGGCCTTGCATGTGTAGTAAATCTTTATCTTTGCCATGGAAGAAACTCAGGAGACCAGGATTTGCAGGAATGATGATTTTATTCAAAGAGTGCTCTGTCCATCTCTTTCCCACTTCTAGGCATAAACCGGAAGTCAGCGTTCTCAGAGCCTTAGATCCTGTCGGCTTTCTCAGGGATTCAATGTAAATACCATAGTGTCGTCAGAAGAGTGTTCTTGTTCCGGGAAGACCAAACCCTCCATAGGGGTGTCATAAAGGCAGTTTGCTGTTATTGTTCAAACCAACATGTCATAACTTTTCTTGGCCTTTTCAACCAACATGGGTCTCATCACAGTAAATAAATCAGTAAACATTGACCATTAAACATAGCAAGAGGTTTACTAATGGCTGTGCTTTCACTTTACCAGAATGTTCCCAAAGAACAAGGATACTACAAAATTGATTTACTAATCAGCAGTTTACCTATAGACCATATCATACATGCAGTCACTTATTGCTTCTGCTAAGACAATGTTTTATTTTTATGGGATTTGCTATTACCCATAATAGTTAGTTGTACTACTATAAACCCCCACACAGTGCTTTAGGATTTTCCCCTAAAAATGGTGACATATAGCTGGTTAAACACTGCTATACCAGATGTACAGAAATGCATATGTGTTAATATTCAGTGTAGAATCTGCCATGTTAGTTCGAACAGCATCCGAAACATGATATTTCTGTTAATTTAGCAGACCGTTGAACTTAAACCTGGAGTCCATCTTAGCATAACACATAGAATAAGTGACAACTCCATTTTGTCATCTTAACTGCTTCTTATATCGTTTTAGTATTTATATTTTGATGACAGCATGGATGAATGCCCCAATGTAGAGCACTAGATGTCCATCACTCCAGCGGTCTTTCTTGATCAGGTCGCATCTGGTGGAATGGGCCTTTGAAGTCAGCAGCATCCCTTGTTCCATTCATTTTAGCATCATGAGTTCCTCACACACTGCCTTGGTTTTCCTGGAAACAAACAAACAAACACAATCTACTATCCTGCTCATGTGCAATCGGCTATAAATACACTCCCACAGCACCTATTGTTATTTTAATCAGTCCACTTCTGTGGGGGTAGCAGAAAACTGAGTTACTTTCTGGATAGGCCTAAATAGTACACGGGCCGCTTTGGGGATAATAGCCCCACTCACTGACTTGGGCTGAGTTCTCCCTAAATTGCCGCTCACTGCTTTGAGCGACACCAATTTTACTGCTCATCACATCCTCAATAGATGCACAATCAGAATAGCCACCATGCAGTAATGTGTTTCATCAATGTGCTGAGTATACTGACTTTCTGGATCATTCTCAGTGCCAGGTTGACCTCTTCTGCCAGGCAGTCTACTTGCTTATTGTTCAAGCTTTCTCCTTTGACTACTACTGTAGCTGTTTCTGTGACAGTCTGATCAAGACCAGCTTGATCAGAACTGCCTTCACTGTTGCTGGAAAGACCCTCAAAAACACTGAAGCTGATGATTTCTCTTGCGCAAGGGAGGGTTCCCTTGTTTTGCCTTTGTATTAACATGGTTCAGTAACCCATTGCCTTTTCTTGCAGTCTCTTTCACTTTTAGAGTTATAGAGTGATAGTGTTGTTGCACTATTCTTACAAAAGTGTGCCACTGTCTAAACACCTGAACCCCTCAGGGTCCTTTTTCTTTACACATTTGCTTACAACCATAAAACATTGCTCCTGACTCCTTCCTGATTCTGCTGGAAGCCCATACTTTCTACACAATTTCTCCTTTTTTTCTTTTTTTTTTTCTTTTTTTTTTTAAACACAATTTATCTAACATCTGTCATAAGTCTCCCTCAAATGCATCTCTATCAGCATACTGAGACTCAGCTGTAGATATTAAATTGGACTGGGAAAACCCCACATGTTTAGGTAAACAGGAAAAAACTCCTGCATGTTTAACTCGGGAACATTGGCCCACAGAATTAAACTGTGAACTACCCCCTTTTGTTGGACCCATGAATGCCGTCGTGCCAACTCATCGCTACCGAGGTATTGCGCAACTCAAACTTGATAGGACTTATGCGACTTAATTTACTGCCTACAACTAAACACAAAACACAAGACAAAACACAAACTGACTCTCTTCTGTTTGGCAGTTAAGTTCTTTTTTCTAAGGTCTCACTCACCAGTTTGCTGCACTCAATAGACCTGATCCTGCCTTTGTCGCCATTGTCGTAAATCTTTATCTTTGCCATGGAAGAGCCTCTTGAGACCAGGATTTGCAGGACTGATGATTTTATTCAAAGAGTGCTCTGTCCATCTCTGCCACCAACACCCAGTCTGAAAACCGCAGCTTAATACAGAACTTTATATGTTGTCCACTTCTCCACCCTCAGAACCCTTGGTACCGTTGTATAACTGAAGTCAGAGTTCTCAGAGCCTTAGATCCTGTCGTAAAAGGACACAGGCAATTTGTCATAAAAGCAATTTGCTGTTATTGTTCACACCATGACAACAGAACATAGTTGACTTCTTTAAAAGAACCCTTCAGCATTAACACTGCTTAACAAAGAATAACAACTAAAACAAGGGCAAAAGAGCAGAAAACTAGAAAATAAAACAATTCCCAATACATATTTGTTAGGACTTGTTGTTGATTAATTGTTGGAAACTCCAGTTTTTCACTTAATTTACTCTGACTTTACGTTTCATTATGCAAGTAGAATATCTTTTGTCTAATCCAGGGGTGCAGAACTCCGGTCCTGGAGGGCCGGTGTCCAGCACAGATTGGAGGTTTCCTTTTTCAAACACACCAATTTAACCTGGCAATTAACAGATAAGTGTAATCAGTTGTGTTGGAGCAGGCAAATCACCAAACTGACACCGGCCCTCCAGGAATGGAGTTCTCTGCAATATGATTTTTATGACGTACATTTTTATGTGCTTATTTAAAAAGTGCAGAACAGAAGGACTTTCACTGAGTGAAAAGAAATAAATGTGTATATTTGAAGGTTTTTAAGAATTTCAGTCCTTATCATGTAAATAAGATCAGCACACACACTGGCCTTCAGAGCTGTGGTTCGAAGGGCACTAGCAAAGATTTAGCTTGTAGTGTCAAGTAGATCACTAGTTTGTGTGTGTTTGTCCACTCTCCTGCTCTGTTGCATGCTAACGCAGGAAAAAGCTTTGAGGGAGAGCCCTCAAGAGCAGATAACATCCATATCCAAAATCTAACAATGTTGGGGTGTTCTTTTTCACTTTCACTTTTTTTTCTTTGTTGCCATTGCATGCATTTAATAGTATTAACTAGCATTAAGTTGCTGTGAATGATTTGCTTGATTTCACAATTTGAAACCTTTAATCTCTGTTTTAATTAATGATATTGTTATTGTTATTATTCTAATGATGATAGAACTGCTTTGTGTGCTGAATTTTTTGGGAACACTCTCCCAAAAGATGTCGTGTCAGCTTCAGATGGCATCATGTGAATTAAAATAGCATCCGATACATAATTTACCATGGATCCAGTGCTGAGGAGTTATGTAAGGCTTTCTTGAACGGTGTAGATGAAGACAGATGTTAACTTTGCTGGAGCTGAAGGCGACCAAGGACTATTTTGCCTCTGGCTTTTCTGTTTCCTTCACTTTCTCTTTCTTCCGCTCTTCCTCCTTTGTTGTCTCTCTTCCTTTTTTGTTCTCCATGTTCCCCTTTTCCCTCTGTTTCTCTTTTCTTCTTTTCTTATCTCTCCCATTTTCTATGTGTGTGCTTTGTGCCACTGCATACTCCTGCAGTCTTTGTGACCTTCATACTGTATTGGAACTGTTCCCTTGTTTTTTTTGTGCGCAGCCCAGTGCAGCGTTCATGCTAGATATGCTGCCATGTGGTCACTTATCATCCGTCGGCTGTTTGTAGGACTGTAGCTGGCGGGATGGGTCTCCTGAGGAATAATGCTTAGTCACACAATAAGACTGCCGTCCTGGGTGTCGATTGCTTAGCATAGTGCAAGCTCAGCTGGAGCTAGTGTAGCGGAAGGTTCGTCCTCTCCCTTGCTTTCTCTCTCTCTCTCTCTCTCTCTCTCTCTCTCTCTCTGTCTCTCTGTCTCTCTCTCTTCTCTCTCCTCTCTCTCCTGCTCTTTCTCTCTCTTATACATTTCTCTCTTTCTTGCTTTCTCTCTTCTCTTGCTGCTCTCTCTTCTGCTTCTCTCTCTCTCTCTCTCTCTCTCTTTTCCACTCTCGCTCTCTCTTCTGCCGCTCTCCCTTTCTCTCTTCTCCCTACCTCTCCTCTCACTTCTTAAAGCTGCCTTACTAGCTTTCTGCTGCTGCTGTTGCTAAAAATATCCTTTCCCTTTACCCCATCTCTCTCTCTCTCTCTCTCTCTCTCTTTCTTTCTTTCTATCTCTCTCTCTCTCTCTCTCTCTCTCTCTCTCTCTCTCTTCCCCCCTCTCTCTCTTTCTCTTTCTCTTTCCACCTCCCCCACCCCTCTCGGAACGGGACGAGCTAGGATGTCACTCATGGCCTGCAGAGTTCCTGGGCTTCAGCAGTGAGCGGGGAGCTGCTCTCTCGTCCCTGCGCCTCTCTCCCTGACTCTCTGTGTGCGTGTGGGTTTCGGGGTATGGCGGCCGAAGGGAGATGCTCCTGTGCTGCTGGTGGTGCTTGAGGCCGGAGAGGGTGGAGTTAGAGCGCAGGGTGGAGAGGGTGTTGAGCATCGACGCGGCGCAGAATGATCAATGGGACAGAGGCGTGCACTGCACCCAGAGGTGTGCTGCAAAGCCATGTGCTTACACTGCACTCGCGCTCTTCAGAGGAGTTGGAGGGAGGAAGAGAGAGGGGCTTGGAGCATTTTCTGATCATGGAGCATGCACAGTTTCATGTTTATGTTTGTGCTTGATTGTTTGGATAGCTTGGGAAACTATAGGATATGTAAAGTTTCCACTTATGCTTATCCAGGGTAATTGTAGGATGTTTTTTTTTAATTAAGAAATTAGTAGTACATTTTGGTGCTTTTTGATGCTTGTATTTATGCCTGCTTGTGTGTAAGGGTTGTCTGGTCAAGTAAAGGATAGGGTGATGTTTGTGTTTTTGCTTGCTTGCTTAATTCCTGTCCTGGACGGCTAGTGTCCTGCACATTTTGATGATTTCTCTGCCCAAACACTCCTGAATCAATTCATCAGTTAATTTCCAGGTTTATTGGGTGTGTTTTAGCATGGAAATCACCAAGGACCAGAGTTAAAGAATGCTATAGTATAGTATAAAAGTTTTTATTTCTTTATCTGACTGTAGTTACAGAGCATGCTTGATTTGATATTTATGCTTGCTTCAGTGTGAGAATAGATTAGTGAAGTGTAAGACATTAGAACTTTGCGTTTTTCTTGTCTAGTTTAACCAAGTTAAAAATAGTGAGATTTTTTTATTGCAGAAGTACATGTAGTATGATTTTTGGTAGACTTTGTGTTTGTAATGCTGTAGCTTCTCTATGGACCTTGTTCACTATATGTGATACCTTGTGCTCATTTGGATTCTTCAGGTGCTTCACTTCCTCTAATTGAATTCCTTGTCCTTCTATTTCTCTCTCGCTCTGTTTCTTTCTTTCACTGCAGTGTGAAAAACTCTAGCTATAGCCTTCTGTCCTACCCCCCTTATAACAGCTACGAATACTCAGACCAGAGTAGGCATAGTGAGAAAGAAGGCCTGTGTGGCCTCTCCAATTTGGGCAACACCTGCTTCATGAACTCCGCTACACAGGTAGGACCTGCTTTAGATTTTTTTTTTACCTTTTACTAATAGACATGTTTCCAGTGTGGTGAAGAAGAAGTAAATATTGTTATTTGTCATTTACATCTGTGCATAGGCTGTTTTGTATTTGCATATTAAAGTAACCAATTAGCATGAGCCCTGTTACTTTTCTAATCAGGAAAATGAATGTTAAGTCTTGCCGAATGTGAATTCAGTTCCTCCGTAAACCTGTTTTCGCATTTAATGTATTAGGCTTTTAAAACATGTATCACAGTATTAGCTGTGAGACATTGGACAGAATGCTGCCTTTTATTCTGTAGACTTTAAAACTAGGGAGATTGTAGAATATGTACTAAGCAGAGATGAGCAGAATACTGTGAAAAGCATTGATGGCTGAATACTGAATACAGTAATATATTCCATTGCAATGCATCAGCAATGATATTCATGTTCAGAATACATTTTGAATAAATTTAGAATATGTTGCAATAAGGCACATGGGGGAAAAAATCTGTTGTTTTATTTAATTTATGCTTTTTCTCATTGTTACTGTTTGGCAGTTTTTTCATGTACTCTTAATATTCTTTTCATGTACTTTTAATATGTGTCCTGAAAAATTCACTTATCATTTAAAAGAAGTTGCAGAATTCTCATTTTATTTTTTGCTCTCATCACCGGCTTTAGTCCGCTGTTACACCCACAGTCTCACAATCCTATAACCCTCTGAGAGAGATTGGTGCCTGTCTCATAAAATAAGTAAACATTTCACCATATCACAATAACAAAATCTTGCAATTTGACTGTAAAGTAGGTAAATATGTGTTTTTCGACTAAATACATTTGTAACATAAAATCCAGTACAACAGTACAAGTGACAACCAGTACAATGATCAGTTTGATCATTCCTCAGAACAGTTCAGTAACACTGACATTAATAACTGGCTCGTCACATTGATTTATCAGTCCACTCGGGCTTTACAGCAACTGAAAGACTAAAGTGTTTGCTAAGAAGTCATTTGTTAAATTTCTCCTTATATTGCACATTGCATGTCATACACTGTGTTCATAAAATTGTTAATAAACAAGCATTGATGGTGTTTGAAGATTCCACTTTTTTAGAAGTTAGTACTAGAAGTATTCTCTTAAAATGTAAAAAGAACTGTATTCATAGTACTGCCTTTCAAAATGTAACATGGACTGAATACAGATAAATACAAATACACTGAACGGTTCTGTTACATTCCAGTCTAAAGTTACATCGCAATCCTGGTCCTAATCTATGGAAACCAGTGATTTCAGTGAAACAAATGCCTCTGCACCAACCTACAGGAAGCACCCTGATGCTCTGTAGAACCACGTGTTGTGGTTGCACTCACAGTAGTCAGTCTAATTAGGAAAAAATGGGTACCACAGCTACTTTGTGCATTCATAAAAATCCATAAAATGTGTATTTTTGTGTGACTGCATTTAATCTTCTCTACCAGCCCACCAGTCTAATCTCTTTCTCACTCTAGCCTTTGTTTGTGTCCTGCAGTGTTTAAGCAGTATTCCTCCACTCACTGAGTACTTTCTGAAGGACAAATACCAGGATGAACTGAATGAGGATAACCCTTTAGGAATGAAAGGCGAGATTGCCAAGGCTTACGCTGAGCTCATCAAGCAACTCTGGTCTGGCAAATACAGCTACGTCACCCCTAGACCTTTCAAGGTAAATGTTGGATAATTGAAGAAATGTTTTTATTATTTTGTATAGCAAATTTTTATTGCTAAAAAATGGTATTACTACTTAGTCTTCAAAGGTTTTGTGGTTATTCAACCAGTTCTGTCTCTATGTTTGTTCACCACAGACCCAAGTGGGGCGCTTTGCTCCTCAGTTCTCAGGCTACCAGCAGCAGGACTCCCACGAGCTGCTGGCCTTTCTCTTGGACGGCCTTCATGAGGACTTGAACCGCATCAGGAAAAAGCCCTACATTCAGCTCAAAGATGCCGAAGGCCGGCCAGACAAGGTATCGTACAGTGCTCATCTGCTTCTAGGAGTTAAATGCTCTTCAGAATCACGTGTGATATTTTTTTTTGTAAGTAACTGCAAAACTTTGAATTAATTAGCTTCATTGTTTACATGCAGACACAGTGTCTTCCTAAAATTGACTTAGATCACTGATACATAAACATTTTGTTGATTTGAGTGTTCACCCTGCTTTGAATCACACATTTTAACTCAGCAAGGGCTTGTTAATTTGCCTGTTAATAGGATCAAGTGTGGTAGAGTAGGAAAAACACCAAAACATGCAGGAGAAGGTTATTCTAGCCCTAGGGCTGGGAACCACTGACCTGGAGTATGAGTATGCCATATAAGAGTTGTACAACCCCATTTCCAAACAAATTGGGACGCTGTGCAAAATGTAAATAAAAACAGAGTGCAGTGATGTGCAAAATCCTATATTTGAAAATAGTACAAAGACAACATATCACATGTTGAAACAGAGAAATTTTATTGTTTTTAAAAAAGATATGCCCATTTTGAATATGATGCCAGGAACACATTTCAGAAAAGCTGGGACAGGGGCATGTTTACCACTGTAACAACACTCTGTAAGTGTTTGGGGACTGAGGAAACCAGTTGCTGTAGTTTTCAAAGTGAAATGTTTTCCTATTCTTGATTGACATAGGATTTCAGCTGCTCAACAGTTTGGTGTCTCCTTTATTGTATTTCTTGTTTCATAATGCGCCAAATGTTTTCAATGGGCTGACAGGTATGGAGCCATGCTGTTGTAATATGTGTAGAATGTGGTTTGACATGGTGGACTTGGTGAAATAAGCAAGGCTTTCTCTAATAAAGACATTGCCTGGATTGCAGCATGTGTTGCTCCAAAACCTGTATCTATAGTTCAGCATTAATGGTGCCTTCACAGACCATGTCATGAGCACTAATGCACTCACATACCATCACGGATGCTGGCTTTTGAACTGTGTGCGAATACCAAGTCAGATTGCCAATTTCCTTTCAGCCCGGAGGACACTGCGTCCAAGAATTTCAAATTGTGAATTGTGGGACCTCACAACACCTTTTTTTGTTTTTTTTTTTTCCTTTGCCTCAGTCCATCTTAAAAAAGCTTGGGCCCAGAGAAGTTGACAGCGTTTCTGGAGAGTTTTATTGCTGCATTCATGGATGCAGCAATGAGTTGTGTTCACAGACAGTGTGGTTCCTGAGCCCATGCAGTGATTTCCACTACAGAATTGTGTCTGTAATGCAGTGCTGCCTGAGGGCCCAAAGATCACAGCCAGCCAATATTGTTTCTTCCAGATTCTCTGAGTCTTTTAATGATATTATGTACTATAGATGATTAAATTCTCAAGTTCTTTGCTATTGAAGTTGAGAAATGTTTTTTTTCTTGAGTTGTTGCACTATTTTCCAGCACAGTCTTTCACAGAGTGGTGAACCTTTCCCAATCTTTACTTCTGAAAGGTTCAGCCCCTCTGGGATGCTATTTTTATACCCAGTCATGTTACTGACCTCTTGCCAATTAACCTAACTTTACCAGTCTATTTTTGCCCCTGTCCCAACTTTTTTGAAACATGTTGCTGGCATCAAATTTCAGTTTCAACATTTGATATGTTGTCGTTGTACTGTTTTCAGTTAAATACAGAGTTTAAATGATTTGCATTTTGTTTTATTTACATTTTGCACAGTGTCCCAACTTTTTTGGAAATGGGGTTGTACATTGCACAAATAGCAAAAGTTTTAGTGTTGGTAGTTTAATTATCACAGTTTAGTTATTGTGTGCACAGTCCTGCTGATCATAAGCAGTAGCTAAGCTAAGTGTTCCACCCTCAGGTAGTAGCAGAGGAGGCTTGGGAGAACCACATCAAGAGGAACGACTCCATTATAGTGGACATTTTCCATGGCCTCTTCAAGTCCACCCTAGTCTGCCCTGTGTGCTCTAAGGTCTCTGTAACGTTTGACCCTTTCTGCTACCTAACTCTTCCTCTTCCCATGAAGAAGGAACGGACGCTGGAGGTCTACCTGGTGCGGCTGGACCCCCTTGCCAAACCCACACAGGTAGGCATACATAACACAGAATCATGGCTCCGCAGCCAGACTTAACACATCTTATATTCTTCTCTGGCACTTCAGTTGTCACTATAGTGTGTATAACTGCACTTTATGTCCAGGAATTTATAGACACTTGATCATCAGGGTTTCTTCTGAAATCAAGGGCATTAATAGGGAGTTTGTCCCCTGTTTGCTACAGTAACAGTTTTGCTTTGAGGATTTGTTGAGGATTTCGGCCACAAGAGCATTAGTGAAGTCAGATATTGATGTTGGATGGCTAGTTCTGGATCACAAACTCCACTCCAACTCCAAAGGTGCTCCATCAATTCAGAGAATGCAGTTCTGCTGCTCCACTTCCCAGTGCTGGGTGGATTTATACTCCTCTAGGTGACATTTGGCATAGGCATTGTGACCAGGTTTGTGTGCAGTTACTCCAAAGCATCGCATTTGATTGCTAGTGTTTTCTTATGTTTTGGTTGTATTGGATCTTAGTGTACAGTGCCCTGCAACGGGGAGGGGGCATTGGCAGTAAACATTGTTTTTTCACCGCAGTAAGAAAAAATCCATACCATCACAGCCCTAGGACCAATATTTCTGGAAGGCACTGTAGCTTTCAATTTAGGACATCACAAGATTCTAATCACTGTCTCAAAAACTAGATAGGCCTGTGAGGCACAGTTTTAGATTGGTTTAAATCATATTTAATGAATAGAGTGTTTTTGGTTTCACTGGGAAATCATTCATGCAAAAATGATAACAATTCTTGTGGAGTCTCACAAGGTTCAATTTTAGGGCCTGTGCTTTTCTCTGCATACATATTAACTCTAGGTGAGGTCATCAGGAAACATGATAGCTATGCTGTTTTTTTTGTTTGTTTTTTTTTCTGGAAAGGTATAATTGATGACATACAATTGTACTTTTCAGTTTCGGCTGAAAATCAAGACTCTGTTGACAAGCGTACCAGTTGTGTCAGATACTGGATGTCACCCTCAGTGGATGGCACAAATTTTTGTACTGTTAAATCAAGAAAAAGCTGAAATGCTGATCCTTTTTACTAAAATTTAGAGAAAGCCGCTTTGTCAGAAACTAGACACTTTCGCTTGGTATACTAACCCTGAAGTACGAAACCTGGGTGTGATTCTGTGCTCTGTTTTGTGCTGCATGTAAATGCAGTGAGTAGAGTAGCTTTTTATGCTTTAAGGAATAGTGCTAAAGTTCAACCAGAGCAATGTCTATCACAGAGCAATGCAGAGAATCTTATTCATGCATTTGTTAGAAGCAGAGTCTGTCGGTCATGCTCTTTTTACCGGGCTTGCTAAAAACAATACAGCCTCTACAGCATGTACAAAATGCAGCAGCATGGATCTGAACAAAAATTAATTCTGCAAATACCTTCCATAAAAAGCAGAAAATGTAGAGAGGCCTCTTTTTGTTATGCTTTTAAACTGTGGAATTTTTTATTAGGCAGTCAAGCTTGGTACATGCTTTAAATAAACATTTGAAAAAATATCTCTTTAGCTCCTAAAATTTCTACCTTTATTTTTGTAATTGTCTTTTTGATTTGATGTATGTCATAACTTCATATGATTTTAAGTTAATACATTTGCATTATTTTTGTCCACTTATGTTGCTGTTACCGGAATAATAGAAGAAAATCAAATTCAGCTTTAATTTCTTCTAATACTGTTAAACTTTGTCACGTGTCTGTAATGCACTTTGAGTTGACATCAGTATGAAAAGTGCTCTGTACATAGTTTTTTCATTCATTAGTTAGAAGAGGTGTCTATAAATTTTTGTACACATAGTATAAGGGTTGCATTCTGAAAGAGCCTCATGCCTTGCAAGTGAAAACAGACAAGCTAAAGGAGAGGTTATACCACTGTCCAATGTCATTTGTACTGTGTGTTTCTATTGCAGTATAAGCTGACTGTGCCCAAAGTGGGCTACATTTCTGACCTCTGCGCTTCTCTGTCTGCACTGTCTGGAGTACCTGCTGAAAAGGTAAACAGTCAAATGTTTTTTCAAACACTTAATCAGCATTAAGAGGCTACTGGGATATTACTGCACTGAACTTCTTCCCTTTGCTGTTCTATACAGATGATTGTCACAGACATCTACAACCACCGGTTCCATAGAATCTTTGCCACTAATGAGAACCTGAGCAGTATAATGGAAAGGGATGATATATATGTGTGAGTATTATGAATACTTGAAGTGATGAAAATGTCTTATTTGCCGATCACTTGGTAATAAAAATATGTAGATGTTAATGTGTTAAATTTCTCCTGAAGCACAACTGATACATATATACATCCCTGTTACTCCTGCTGGGTAGGTTCGAGGTGGCGGTAAACCGGCTAGAGGATACAGACCACGTGGTGATCCCTGTGCACCTACGAGAGAAATACAAGCAGTCAGGTTATAACCACACCAGCACCCTACTGTTTGGCCAGCCCTTCCTCATAACCGTCCCTCGCACTCTCAGTGAAGAGAAGTTCTACAACCTGCTGCTCCTCCGCCTGTGGTATGCGTCCCCTCTCCTACCCTCTTTACCCTCACTGTCTAGCCCTTCTCTTTTTCTCCCCTTTCCACAGCCTTGATTTTTTTCATTTAAATAAATATTTAATTATATTATTGTACTTTTATCTTATCAATTTTATTATTTTTTTATATATACACTTATTCCAAATTTGATGCATTGATGATACATTCCTAAAAAGTTGGGACACAGAAAGTGTAAGACTGGGAACTCTGTGGAATGATCAGAAACACCCGTTTTGAAACTACAAACTGCTGAACTGATGTAAACTGATGAATAGGCAACAGAGGATGCTCTCATTTGAAGGTATAAAAGAACAACGTTTCTCAATGCACGATTGCAAGAAGTTTACCATCTACAGTCTATAACATTATTACAAGATTCATAGAATCCGGGAAAAAAGGGTGAGGCCGAAAACCTATATTGAATAGCTGTGACCTTTGACACCCTCAGACGGCACTGCATTAAAAACCAACATGCTTATGTAATGATTATAACCACATGGGCTTGGGAATACTTAGAAAAACCCTTGTCTGTAAACAAAGGTTGTCGCTGCATCTACAAAAGCAAGTTAAGACTCTACTATGCAAAGCCACATTCAGAAACGCCGCTGACTTCTCTGATCTAAAGCTCATCTGAGATGAACCGACACAAAGTAGAAACGTGCTGTGGTTTGAGTTCACCTTTTAAATTTGTATTTTTTTTTGGAAATAATGGATTGTGTTTCGGTCGAAGAGTAAAAGGACCATCCTGCTTATTATCAATGCAAAGTACAAAAGCCTGTGTCTGTCATGGGGTGGGGGTGTGTTAGTGCCAGTGGTAACTTGCACATCTGTGAAGGCACCATTAATATTGAGATGTACATAAATGTTTTTGAGGAACGTATGCTGCCATCTAGATGATGTCTTTTTTTAGGGAAGTCCCTACTTGTTTCAGCAAGCCACATGTTTAGTTGCACGTTAGAACATGTAAGAGAGTGCAGGTGCTGGACTAGCCTACCTGTTTCCCATTGAAGATGTGTGGTGCATTATGAAGCACAATATATGACAAAGGAGATCAAGGAAGACTTTCATAACTGCAAAAATTGGTGTTCTCAGTTGCCAGACATCAAAAGGAAAGGTGATGTAACACAATGGTAAACATGCCCCTCTCCCAACTTTTTTGCAAGTGTTGCAGGCATCAAATTTAGAATAAGCGTGTATATATACCAAAAAAGAGTAAAATTAATTTGTTGACATATTTCATATCTTTGCATGGTTTTTAATTGAATAGAGGTGGATTTGCAAATCATTAATGCCTGTTTAGTTTAGCTGCCTATTTCTATTAAAATAATAGCGTTATGGGAGAAGAAGATGCAGAGTACATAAAACCACACAACCTTTATAAAGTCTAAGGAAATGTAATATATGGGTGTTTTTAAACTAATACATTCTCACTGTTTTAAATGGGATTATTGAATGTCAAAGCAGACTGCAGGTAAAGGTTTTGTGGTCTACACTGACAAAGTGTTTGTTCTGTGCTATGTTTGCAGTCGCTTTGTGCGCTCAGCCCTGGAAGAGGAGGAGTCTGATGAGACACATTCATCCAAGCAGCATGCCATCAATGGCAATGCCACCAATGGTATACTGGAGGAGGGCTCGCCCAGTAAGCATGCTGTCTGACTGCATCTGTTAACCTTGCAGCCTTGTGTCCATGAAAAGCACGTTCAGCTGTTTTCAGTACCGGGAAGTGCAGTGTGGGCACCTCAGCCAAATAAGCATACCTACCTCACTTTATTCACAGAGTGCATTAGATTCCTCCCAGTAGAGTTTTTACAGAAGGATGCTCTGCATTCTTACAGAAGCAGCCATCACTCTTTAATTTTATTTATGTAAAAAAAATTTGAGTGGTGGCTCCACAAAGAAAACAGCAGGCTTATTTCCTTGAACATGATTAACTCTGCTGGTATTCTTAAATTCCTGACTGTGGCTAGCCAGTACAAAATAATAACTGGAATATTAAATTAAGGTCTCAACAAAGTAAATTCTTCTGCTGATAAGCACCCTGGATGCATATTTCCGCCAGTTCATGCAACTGCTTTTTGTAAACCCAGGCGCTCTGTTTCATTATTTCGTCCATGTGCCTTGTGCCAAATGCTTTAATTCACATGAACAGAAACATTCTGGCTTGATAACAGTGAAGGTCCTCTGTGGCAGTAGGCGCAAAAATAGAGAATTTTCAGTGTGCAACAAGTAAAAGGGGCAAGCCAGCCAAAATGAAAAATGTAACTATTGCTACATCTCTTGTAAACATGCCTGCTCGCCTCCTACAGTGGTGCTGCAGTGGACCCCAGAGTGAGATTTTCTGGTTGAAAGACTGGGAAAACCCCCTTCTAATGATGAATCTTGAAGGTGGGAGGAACTTTTGAAAAACAAGCTCTTTGTGGCAGAAACCTGCGGGCAGGCTGTTAGAAAGTTTTTTTCCCTCTAGCTGGCTAATGCAGAAGGAATTCAGATAGCTACCCATACTGCTAGGAAGTCCAATATCATGCCTTATGTATTTATAAACCTCTACATGAGTGGTACATCAGTGGCTATGTTAGCAGTCAGGCTTTCTTTATTACCGTCAGGGGGATTCCTCTGATGGTTGTATGACATACTTGCGCAATGCATGCTGAATATTATAATGAGACAAAGTTGAGTTTGAGCAATATAATGCTGTGCTACAGGATATTACATATCTTGAGAAATAACATTAAATGTTTGTTTTAGGCCTGAATGGCTGTGGCATAGTTACATGAAGTGTTAACTGAATCTGATCAGTCTTTCTGTCTGACATTTTAAGATTACAAAACATGGCATAATGGCTTCTGAGATATGACTTAATTGTTTGGACTGCAATGTACTAACAAGGCATGTACCAGTGGTATGAATACAAGCAGAAAAATGTAAAAACAAATTTTGCAAATTTTTTACAGAATATACTTGAAACTGGCCCTGTTTATAGAATAATACCTCCAATTTCAGGTGAAATGGAGACTGATGAGCAGGATGATGAGTCTAGTCAGGACCAGGAACTTCCTTCTGAAAATGACAACAGCCAATCAGAGGATTCGGTGGGCGGGGACAATGATCTGGAGAATGGAGTTGGCCCAGAGAACTTGACCAAAGGCCAGCAGCTCACAGGCCACAAAAAGCGACTTTTCACATTCCAGTTCAACAACATGGGCAAGACTGACTTGAGTTTCATTAAAGAGGAGCCACGACAAATACGATTTGATGAGGGACACCTTCGACTCAGTGGTACGACACTTTCAAAACTTTGTTCGTTGTTTGAGAGGTCTTTATTCTCCTCAAACCAGAGATAACGTGGACCCCATTTACACCTGGTCATTTAATGCGTCTATAGTGTCAAGATTATATCCCGATAGATTATCCACATAAAAAAGCATGTCTAAATGCACCTAAGACTTCGTTAAAATCCTGTTGCTCAGACCACTTCAGGAGGTTGTCCGAGATGCATTTTAGCCAGATGTAAATGCATTTACATTTAAGAACCAAAACCACTCCAAATACAGTGACAGTGCCTCACCCTGCATTTCTGCATATGGGGAAGAGTCTGCCTCCTGGTATGCCACCACTATACAGAGGCATTGCTGCTCATTCCGTTCAGCACCTGATGCAAGTTTCTCCTATGAGTTTCATTCAGTAGCCTTCATTAGCCAGAGCTGGTTAAAATGAAGTGCCAGTTTGGTTAATCTTTACTTCACCTGATGTTATTTACTGTTTCATTATGATGCATTACGTTTTAATGCACATGGTCCATGTCTGTGAAGGCTAATACAGAAGGCTAATTAATTTAATCTGCTATCATCTTGTACACATTGTTGTAAAGCTGGTGTAAGGGTATTTTTAACACCATGTAAAACCTTGATTTTCGAGGCAGCAGCAATCTTTTGAATAGAACAGGAAAATCAAGAAACAATACAGGTGCTTGGTTGTTGATATTACATCTGGTGCGTACAGCAGTATTGCAATCTGACTAACTGGAGATGTGTCTAATTACCAAGTGTAAGTGTATGTGGTTAAAATCTTATGAGATTGCAGTCCAGGTACAAGTCACATGAAACGAGTCCTAGTTACAGGATCAATCGGACTGAGAGAATACATGCGTTTCCAGTGACTTCAGTTATTTTTCTTCAACATGGGACAACAAAGTGTTTCATTTTATAGGCCAAAGTGTTTGTGGTCACATACTTTATTCTTCATTTCTGTTAATCTCTCCCCCACAGACAGATCCTATCTCTCCTTAGACTGGGAACCAGAGATTAAGAAGAAGTACTTTGACGAAAGTGTAGCTGAAGTAAGATTGAATTCATTTTTTATTTTCTGCTACCACCATCTTGAATGTGTTTATATTGTTCATGACCCTACTCTCATTCTCCTGCTCCAGGACTTTGATAAGCATGAAAGCATGGAATACAAACCTCAAAAAAAGGCCTTCTTCAAACTGAAGGACTGCATTGAACTGTTCACTACCAAAGAGAAGTTAGGAGCCGAGGACCCATGGTGAGTCTAGGAGTCCCCTGCTTTTCTCTTTCTAAATTTTCCCATTAATTGTGAGAAAAATCAGTTAATTTTAAAGGGCATTTACTCATATGTGTATGTGTGGTGTTTTTTTGGTGTTTTATGCTATCTCAGTTCTGCCTTTGAAGTCTTAATCATGCTGGAATCAGCTATTGTTAGTACAAAAACAAACGCTTTCTAACAGCCTGTAGTGATGTTTCTAGTGATGTTGAATTCCTTTGTGACTACCCTAGTCAAACAAAATAAAATGAATAAATACGCCTTGACAAGACTTCGAATATATATGCTCGTCATGTGTTTTATACACTATGTATTTTAACTGTCCTCAGGATTTTACCTGTGGATATAAATAAATGACCAGTCTCGTTTGCACCTGTGTGTGATCCCCAGGTACTGTCCCAGCTGCAAGCAGCACCAACAGGCCACTAAGAAGTTGGACTTGTGGTCTCTGCCTCCAGTATTGGTGGTCCATCTTAAACGCTTCTCCTATAGCCGCTACATGAGGGACAAACTAGACTCTTTGGTGGACTTTCCACTGCGGTAATGTTCATGTTTTTTCTTTTGTTTTGTTTTTTTCTTTTTTTTGGGGGGGGATAAAATGTGTATTACAGGATGCTCATCTTTTAAACGCACATAAAACACACCCTTTTAAACACACATAATAAAAGCCATTGGGTGTTTGTGGTATTTGATAGAGATTAGACTGGTAAAATGCTGTAGCATTCCTTTATGTAGATGACAATCCTGTATGTTGTGTGTGTGTATATATTTAGTTTAGCAAATTTTAAATGAGAAGTTACGTTGTATTACCTGGGAGAGTGTAGTAAAGAGTTTACAAGTAGGGCTGTGTTCAAAATATGGAATGGCAATATACCGTGGGTACAATGTAAGCAGTATGCGTATTAATACAGTGATGGCTGTATTGAAATTTTTCAGTTTATTTTACACAGCATGTGTTTGCATTTGTGAAGTAGATACTACTTTCAAGATTGTGACATTTACATCCAACGTTTAGCACTTTCAGAATGAAATTTAGTTAGATATTAAGATATAGTTAATTTTTTTAATGTTGACTATTGCAGAAGCACAGGTCATTCCAAACAAATGTATTTAAGTATTTGGCACACAAGGACCTAATCAGCAGGTTTTTCTTTGCCACAGTGGCAGAACAAGCTGTATAATTTTCTTATATTTTTCATCACACTGCTGATGTCAAGAAAAATGTTTTAGCAAAAAAGCAGCAGAAACAGAAAGTTTGGTGGTGTGCTAATTTGACGTGATATTTAGTATGATATATGAAGTTTCTGTAGGCCTAAAAGAGAGAAAGTGGAATAGAGCAGTAGGGCTAGAAAGACATTTTATCTATGTCACCAAATGGAAAGCCTTTAGAGTGAGACTTAACTGGACAACAAAGCTGAAAACCAGACTGTCTGGTCCAAAATAGGGACACCTGGCAACTCTGTGACACTGATAAGTTTATAGCCACAGACTTCCTCGCACACACGAATAGATGCCCAAATACTGACTATTATTGTGCTGCTGCCTTTGTGAGTAAATTTTCTTGTGTTTTTTTTTTAAACCGTTAAAATTAATGAAAAGGTCAGTGTCATTCTCCTCAATCCTACTTATTTGTTCATTATCACTTTTGTAAACTTCACTTTACTTTTCGTTTTGTAAACATACCGAAGGTATATTAAGGCATTTTTCATTGTATCGTATCGTATTGTGGCGCTTGTACATATGGTGGTACACACTGTATCATGAAGTTGCTGACAAAACCCAGCTGTATTTACAATAGGCAATATAATAGTATCTTGTTGATCTGCAGTGATCTGGACATGTCAGAGTTCCTTATTAACCCCAACGCTGGTCCATGCCGCTATGATCTCATTGCTGTTTCCAACCACTACGGAGGCATGGGAGGAGGACACTGTGAGTGCTCTCACACACATGCACACATAATAACACATGACCATCAGCATCCACTCTGATTCAGCTATATAAACACTAAAATCTGCTGCGATTGCCAGATACGGCCTATGCCAAGAACAAGGACGATGGCAAGTGGTACAACTTCGATGACAGCATCGTGTCTCCGGTCAGCGAGGATCAGATTGTGGTGAGACATTTTTTACGTTTAGCTTCCTCAACTGCACTCTTTACTTAATTAGTCCTTCAGAAATGGGGCCAGATCGCAACAAAACCAAAAGTTCTGTTAGTGTGTCATCCTTGTGTGTGATTGGTTGGAGATTGTAGAATGTTCTACGCATTTGGACTGTTCTAGAATGTTCAGTGTTCTCCCCCATTCTAACCCTAGAGTGTTCTCCTGAATTCACACTGTTGTAGGATGTTCTTGCCCATTTACACGATTCCAAAGTTTTCTCACCCATTCACGTGGTTCTAGAATTTTCTCCTCCTGTTTTCAACATTCTAGAATTTTCTCCCACTTTCACACTTTCCTAGAATGTTCAGTTTCACCCTATACATTCTTTTCTAGAATGCTCAGTGCTCTCACTTATTCACACTGTCTAGAATGTTCTCCCCCCCTTCACAATGTTCTTGACCTCTCTTCCCATTCACTCTGTTCTTCTATGTTCTCTATGAACGCTGTTCCTCTTGTTCTAGAATGGTCTCCTTGTTCACATTGTTCTAGAATGTTCTTCCCAATATGCATTTTTCTAAAATAGGGGTTCTCAACCTTTTCCACCCCAAGACCCATCTGTGTATAACTACAAAACATAGCGGCCCACAGGAAAACTAATTTTTTTTCTTCTCTTAAATGCTGACACTGAAAACCTGAGAATTAGGGCCTGAAAAAATTGGTTCGGGCGTTCTAGTTGTCAGTAGGTTTATAAAATTTGCAGCTATATTAAAAACATAAAATACGTTTAAAAAAAACACCACCACCACATGACTGTAGTGATGTTAAAAAGGGCGAAAAGAAAAAAAGTAGAAATCTATGAGGTTTCGCGTTTTTCGCGTTTTCACTGAAAATACTCCACTGGCTTCCCAACAGAGTAATTGTTTGGTTTCGTGAAGTCTCTTTAGTTTTGAGGGTTTTTGTGGTTTATTTGAAACCACACTCTACTCACCGAGCTTTTGGATTAGTGTCGTCACAATCAACAGTAATGATGAAACTTGATATCTGCTTCCTTATCGTTGCTTTAGCAATATGAGTTTAACCACTCAGGTTGCTGATGCTCGGCCAAACAATCTGAGTTGAAATCAAATGCATATCTTCGTTTTTATTTTATGTCTATCGTTTTTCAACAGCAGCTTATTCTGAGAGTCTGCAAGAGTCATTAAAACAGTTGTTATGGTGACTGTACGGTGCTGACGTGCCTCTAGAAGAAAAGTAAAGCCAGCTCTACTGATGAATTCCCTCGTTTGATCACAGAACAGCGTTTCAATCAGCGGTAAACTGAACCAGGGTTCGTTTACAAGCGGACTGAGATCCGTGATTTCTGCTGGACCGGTTCAGCTGTTTGTTGCAGACCCGAATACAGATGGAGTGTTCACACATGTCAAAATGAAGCAAACTAAAGAAAAAGGGTGTGATAAGTCCTCACCAAACAAAGCACCCTGAGAAACTTCTCTGTTAGCTGTCTGCATTGCACGCCCACAACCGCGGCTGCGTTGTCTCAGACTGATGACGTTTAACTAGCCCACAACAGCGACATTTTTATTTGTACGTCTCTATTAATACTTATATTGGTTATAATGTGAAAATGTTTCACTTACTGATTTTTAATCATTAAGTTGATCATTTTCCCACTTATGTTTTTATGACTTACCCCTGCGAACAGGCCTGGTGGTCTGTGGCCCATAGTTTGTCCCCCTTTCACATTGTTCTAGAACGTTCTCTGTTCACACTGTTCTAGAATGTTCTTCCCAATTTCCATTGTTTAGAATATTCACTGTTCTCCCCATATACACTTCTAGAATGTTCTCCCTTGGTCACACTGTTCTAAAATGTTCTTCCCAATTCATATTATTCTAGAATATTCACTGTTCTCCTTATGTACACTTCTAGAATGTTCTCCCTTGCTCACACTGTTCTAAAATGTTCTTTCCAAATCGCATTGTTCTAGAATATTCACTGTTCTTCCCAATTCACATGTTCACAACATGTCCAGTGGTTCACACTGGTTTGTTTGCTTGTTTGGTGGGGAATGCTGAGTCAGTATATCATAGCCCTAAAAAACTGCAGTGACTGTTCTTATTGGACCGTCCTTTTGGTCCAGTGTTTACGTTTGTTTTAGTGTGAGAAACACTCAAATTCCAAAATGAAAATTCCTCAGTGCAGTTTAACTCCATTGAGATTTTGTGTGTGTGTGTGTTTGTGTTTTTTTTGGCAGTCCAAAGCAGCGTACGTCCTGTTCTACCAGCGTCAGGACACAGTAAAGGGTACAGGCTACTTTGCCCTAGACCGCGAGGACACGGAGGAGCAGGAGAGCACCTCGGCACAAGGGGCCAATGCCCAGAGTGATGAAGACGAGGAGGAGGATGAGGAGGACCTAAATGACAACGAGCAGGACGAAGAGCTAGAGGCTAATCACGACATCACCATGAACACCAACTGAGTTGGGACAAACGTGGGGCAGCGGGTGGTGGGGGTCATCCGAAGCCATATGGTGAGCAAGCGGTCCAGAGAATCCAGTCCAGAGCCTTCGTCCTCCGCTTCTGCAGTGCCTGCAAGTGCCACGCATCAGACTGGAACGTCCAATCAGGGCCTTGTTTTAATGGCCAACATAGCAGGTTGATTTTCCCCCCTCTCTCTCCTCCTCCCATTTTTCCATGTGGCTTTCTCCCTTCAGCCACACCTCAGCCAAATATAGATGTCCGGAGCCCTGATGGTGAAAAAGGATAAGCTTGTGAATCGGATTTATGGAAATGTCGAAACACACATCTGGAGAATGTTCGGCAGTGTCACTCCTCAGATTTCCCTCGTGGTAGTTTTTTTTTTTTTAAATATATATATATATATTGCAAGAGAGTGCAAGAGAGATGCATTTATAAGTAGTGCTTTACTTTTATCATTGTTTTTGCCTTGTACATAATTTTGGATGGACAGTGAACCTCTGGGTTTTAAGGATATTGGACTGTTTTGTTGCACAATCACTCCATTTGTTTTTATAGCTAATATTAGTGCCACGCATACTGCAAAGTTTACGGTCCCCAGTGTCCCCTCTATCAGCTGCTTACGTAACTGCCTTTTAAGCAGTGGCAATTGCATCGACAGGCAAATTCTCTCGAATCAGAAGAGCACTAATATGTGTTGTACAAACTATAGTGCGAGTTCAGCTTCTGTATGCTTGGTTACAGATTTTTAGGGTAACTTAAGCCTGGCATAAAACGGTCTCTTGACCCCTTGACTTTCAGCTACATCAGAAAGCAATGCGTTCGTTAAAGGCGCAACCTAGCCCATAGCTTTAGCGTAGCTTCAGGATCTAAGCCTCATTCTTCACACCTCGTTCATCATAGAGGCTTATTTTAATGAGATTATGAACTTTCTGGTGATGCAATAGATTGTTCGTCTTTTGTCTCCATCACCTCAGCCTTAAATCTAATCTCAGACTGTTGCCTTTACTTTGCACAATTATTACGCTGTCTGTCTGCGTTTCCCCTAACACACACCCAAAACGCACACTAGCACCTAACACACATTCACGCATGCGCACAAACTCAATTGTTCATCATGCTCACTCTCTACCTTAAGCCCTACAAACACAGAGGCACTGACTGACTACTGTAATCAGACAGAAATGAGCCAGTTCTCCCAGATTGGCAAAGAATGTATTTGACTGAGGTTTGTTCGCCTGCAGTTGGATATTTGGATTGATGCCTTCCTTTAAGTGTAGTGGATGAGAAGTGAGTTGCTTCCTCTTTTTTTGTTGAATGTGTTTTTGGGTTTGTGGGGAGGGTAGTCAGATCATTTCATTGCCTTTTATATTAGCGATATAAAAAACAGGGATACTGCTGTATGTGTCTTCTGTCAGGGGTGGGGGGGAGTGGGCACAGGGATAATCAGACTGAGTGAGACTGATTGCATAGGCTTTATAAATACTGTATATAAGAGTTCACTCTGTGAGTGCACATTTGATAAATTTATTTATTTATATGTAATCAAACCAGTGTATTTAAGACCACAGGACGACAGAATAAGTATGATAGAGGGCTTCGTTCCAGCCATCTAAAAGTGTCTGGGCTTTAGGTGTGCTTAAGGATCACCTGGAGTTTTCTTCCTTTTCCTAAAGGTTCATTAGGACATCCTTGCATGAAGAAGGGGGTTTCAGCGTTTGGCTGCACTTGAGTTCACTTGGGTTTACATTTGAAATGTGCATGTGTATTTATATACAGACTTCAATAAAGTTGTGTAAAGCCTTTGGTGGTTGTCTTTCTTTTGTGCTGCACAAAAAAAGTATTAAAAAAAAAAGAAAAAGTATAGTTTGGAGAGGTTTCTGTCCAGCAACATGGGATACATAGATAAATGCAAATGATGTGAAAGCAGGTTCTTCATTGCAGATTTGGATACTTAGCTATGTATTTTTTTCAGATATTTTTGGGCAGCAGGCTTTGCATTGTAATGATTTTCGTTTGTGCTGATTTTATAAAAACTTTCACTTCATGTTTGTCATTTTCATATAATAACTATTACATACAGAATATTATAGAATGTTATGAATATTTGTAAAAGTTAACATCTGTGCAGCTGAACAAATGAGCATTGTGTTACAGAAGAAGTTACACTGTAATACACTAAGGAGGTTTGTTGGTTTATAAATTGTTTATAAATATATAAGTATAAATTGTGTAGTGTCCACTGTGGTTAATGGGAGCTACAGCTGTAGGGGGGAAAAAAACATTAGCATGTCTGGTTGTGCTGGTTTTGATGGCCCTGAATCTCCTACCAGACGAGAATGGCTGGAAGAGGGGGTGTCCAGGATGAAAGGGGTCAGCTGTTTGCCTGCGCGCCTTATCACCCTGCTGTTGTAAATGTCCTGAAGTGTGGCAGACTATATCCAATGGTCCTCTCCGCTGTCCTGATTATGTGCTGGAGTTTGGCTCCATGGTGGTACCCAGGAACTTGAGTGATTCCACAGTGGAAACTATAGAGCCACTGATGTTCAGGGGGCTTTGAGGGCATCTCTAAAGTCTTTTGCTTGTTCAGCAGCAGCTTCATCAATGTTGGCCATTAGGCCCACCTCAGTGGTGTTGACTAGAAACTTGAGGATCTTAGCTGGCTCCTTGGAGATGCAGTCGTTGTGAGAGCACACAACCTTGTGGAACTCCAGTACTATGGTGGTGAGATCTGAGCAGAAGTCTACAAACAGACCTCTAGCGTCGGTTCCAGGACTGTCGAGATATTATAGCATGAAGTGCAGTTGACTGTGTTATCAACAGACATGTTGGCTCTGTATGGAAACAGCAGAGGATCCAGCAGAGGGTTTATAAGGGCCTTTAGGTGGGCTAGGACCAGGCATTCAAGGACCCTCATAACTACAGAGGTCAAAGCTACTGACCTGTAGTCATTTAGTACAGTAATGTCTTTTTTTTGGATACTGGAATAATGGTAGATGTTTTGAAGGATGTGGGAACAGAGCAAAGTTCCAGTGATTTGTTGAAGATGTTTGTGAAAATTGGTGCTAGCTGATCAAAGCAGTGCTTTAGGGTGGATGGAGAGACTAAGTCTGGCCCCAGAGCGTTCCTCATCTTCTCTCTACTGAGAAGCCTGTGCTCATCGATGATGAGGTGAGCAGGGGTCAGAGGTGAGAGGAGACTGGGCAAGAAAGGCTGAAGATTGTCCTTGAAAATCTGTAGCAGAGCTCATTGAGGTCATTGGTAGTGGCCGTTCAGGAGAAGGAGTGTTTTTCTCACCTTGTAGTTGATGATCTCTTAGAGGCCTTTCCGAACTAGCGACAATGTGGCTTTTCAGCTTTTTGAGTAGTTTTTCTTTGCTGCTTTAATTACTTTCTTCAGCTTGTATTTGGCGTCTTTTCAGCTGAAAATCACATTTTATCAAAGCTATACTTCACCTGTGCTGTAGTCGAAATGCAGTTTCCACTACAGCACAGGTCAGTATGAATTCCAAGCTGGTTTATGCTGGCCTGATGTTGGTTTAACCAGTCACCCAGCACGGTCATGCTGGTTGACTAGCGTACCAGTGTGGGGGAAAAAAAAAAACACATGCTGGTTTTGATGGTGACCAGCCATGCTGTCACCTCTTCAAAACAGTCCAGTTTGTGGATTCAAAGCAGCCCTCATTATCTAATGATCAGTCTTTGTTGAGCTGAATCAGGCTACTGCAAGAAAACCCAAGAATGTGCTGTGCAGGTGGATTTATTGCTTTTTTTGTTCTTTCCCAAACACCGCTTTATTTTGCTGTTTACATTTGTGGGTTTGTCCAAGTTTTATTTGAAAATGTCCCAATGCTGCCATCTTCTGGTAGAAAACTGTTGTGACAGCAGCACTTGGAAGGTATTTTGAAGCGTAGGCCTATAATTTCTTATTGCCACACAAAATACCTGCTTCCATATTCATTTCATAATTCTTCTAAAAATATTTCCATTATTCATTTTCATCTATCTAATCTTTTGAATTGATGTACTGTTATACAAGCATGTAGAATCAACTTCCACTGTAAGCAGCCTATGATCTGTGCTTTTTCACACAGGTGACAGTCATGTGGTGTTGTGTATTTCACAATTTTAAGGCCATGACAGCTTTAAGACACAACCTAAAATGATAAAATATAATGTGATGATATGAAACCATATTTTAAAAACCTACCTTCTTCATTTGTATACTGTTTTGTCTTTTTTAGCCCACCAGAAACATTGAACTCCCCTTTTGACTTCATCCTGGTATTCATGAAACCGCTCTTGAGTTTGATTAGCAGTGGCTATAGGGGCATTCTCCCCTTGAAAGATGGGAACAACATAAGGGTGCACCTTTTTGCACCTGGTGCTTTAAAATGGCCTCATGTTCTTTAGTTGTTACACGACCATGCAGGAGATGACTGATAACGCAACAGATCCACCACCATGTTTAACACTGTCAGCATACACTGTATGTGTGGTTCAGAGGCATGCTTTAGCTTTTCTGATGGAGGAGTAAGGAGGAAAGATGACTCACTCTTCAGACCGCTTGTGGCTTGGGGTCCAGGTTTTAAGACCTGTACACCACATCACAGATCTTTGTGCATTTTTTCTTGGGTCAGAGAAGTTTCTGGACAGTAGCCTGGTCATAAATTCAAGCTCATCATTTACTGTTTTGTTTGAAGGTCACTACAAAGTGCTGATTCAGTTCTGTGGTATTTTTGCTTTAAGGAAGGCTAGTGTTATTCTGTTTAGCAACAGTCATGCTACCTGTGGGCCTGCCCCCTGCTGTGTTCTCTGTAGATGCAGTCTGTCCATATCACCTGTGCAGCTGACATGATAAATCTGATGTAATGTACTTCAGAGAAGCATTTTTTGATACTGACACAAAATACTGAGTGACAGAACATAATTATCTGTTTATTGATCCTATTAACACACTTAAAATACACTTAAAACTCCAAACCAGATTGGGCCCAGATATTCTGTTAGAAGGACCAGTTACATACTTTTGTCTGTACAGGTCAGTTTTTATTACTTATCATATTCAATCTAGTCTTTTGGTCATATTAGACTTCAGAAAATTAAGAAAACAATAGAAAATCACATTTTGATTGTGTATAGAAATGTGTAAATTACTTAATAATAATAATAATAATAATAATAATAATAATTAGTACTGACCATGCAAATTAAAACTATATATGATCATACCAAGTTCTGTGCCATTTTTCCTCATCATACTAAATGTAGCACGGTCATTTGGGATTTTGATTGATTTGACGGTTAACAGAACAAATTTACATTGGCCGCGTCCAAAATCACATCTTATACTATGCATACTATACACACTGTAGTAATATCTGTACTATTAATGGTGGTGCACATGCTATTTAGTATGATCAGCGCTCCAACTGTCAAAAATTGTCAAGGGGGGGTGGCAGGGGGTAGCAGCTGTACCTACTTAGAGCAGATTTTTCGGATGTCTCGTACAGTGATTAGGATGTCAGCTCTTTGTAATTCTACAGGCAAAATGCTGACTCTGATAAGAACTCACATAAACTACATTCATCCAAAGGGGATGGAAAGCGGGAAAGGCCGTTTTTAGAGGAATGATGTTTGTCTCTTTTCAGCCTTGAATCCTCCCTCAAACCGAGCCCTTTGTACGATAGTTTGCGGTTTGGACGCAGCCAAATTGTTCCATACTGTCATGCGTCACAATCACTGCACCCAACTGATCCACCAATGAGCGCACTGACCACGCCCTCTTTCTCGGCGTTCCGCCCACATCGCTGCCAGACGTTCCCGCGAATTTCGTGTCTTTAGTGTTGGAGCGGTAAGGACACGCGCTCCGTCTTAGGAACCGTCTGAAAGCGTAAAAGAGCGCTTTAGAGCGAACATGTTTCTCGCGCAGCGTGTTTATCTTCTACCTGTACTTATTTCCTTTAACAGGACACATTTTATGGCACTGAAAGCCTGTTAGGCTTTAACAGTACTGAGACGAGGGGTCTCGCGCAGTAAGTAGCTACGTTAGATATTTGCTCTGCTAAAGCTCATATTCTGCTCTCGTTAACTGTTTTACATGTGATGAGGCTACATGTTCTTGTGTGTTGGTACCTCTGGCCTTGTTTTCTTAATGCTGGTCTGATGCTGGATGGTCTGGGCAGTTAATGGTGGGTGGGTTGGCGCCTCCAGCTAGCTTTTAAAGGGGAATTCAACCGATTTTTCAAAAATTTTGCATAGTTCCGTCGTTGCGAAGGAAAGTCGTTCAGAATGGTCTGGTGTGAAATGGTTCATTGTAGCGGCTCAGATGCCTTTACAGTGGTGGTGATAGGAACCAGAGGTCGTCATGTCTAGCTATTTTATTTACTGCCCAAAACCACCAGTGAACCCACATGTATGAACCGCCATGAATGGATTAAAATAAACAAGACGTTTTAAGCCAAAATTTAGTAAAGGTACCGTACAATGTCTCTGGAATCAAGCAACCATTATGTGGAATAACTTTCTGTGAGGAAGCAATTAGAGGTATTAAACTCCTCAGACGTCTGGTTCCCATCACCACCTCTGTGAATAATTCTGACTAAATTTATCTAGAACGGACCATTTCACACCAAACCTCTCTGAGTGACTTTGTTTA